GCTGCTCCAGTCCCCAAGCCGGGACTGCAGCTCCAGTCCCCAAGCCGGGACTGCAGCTCCAGTCCCCAAGCCGGGACTGCAGCTCCAGTCCCCAAGCCGGGACTGCAGCTCCAGTCCCCAAGCCGGGACTGCAGCTCCAGTCCCCACGGCGGGACTGCAGCTGCTCCAGTCCCCACGCCGGGACTGCAGCTCTAGTCCCCAAGCCGGGACTGCAGCTCCAGTCCCCAAGCCGGGACTGCAGCTCCAGTCCCCAAGCCGGGACTGCAGCTCCAGTCCCCAAGCTGGGACTGCAGCTCCAGTCCCCAAGCCGGGACTGCAGCTCCAGTCCCCAAGCTGGGACTGCAGCTCCAGTCCCCACGCCGGGACTGCAGCTCCAGTTCCCACGCCGGGACTGCAGCTCCTGTCCCCACGCCGGGACTGCAGCTCCAGTCCCCAAGCCGGGACTGCAGCTCCAGTCCCCACGGCGGGACTGCAGCTCCAGTCCCCAAGCCGGGACTGCAGCTCCAGTCCCCACGCCGGGACTGCAGCTCCAGTCTCCACGCCGGGACTGCAGCTCCAGTCCCCAAGCTGGGACTGCAGCTCCAGTCCCCAAGCTGGGACTGCAGCTCCAGTCCCTGAGCCGGTTCTGCAGCTCCAGTCCCTGAGCCGGTTCTGCAGCTCCAGTCCCCAAGCTGGGACTGCAGCTCCAGTCCCCAAGCTGGGACTGCAGCTCCAGTCCCCAAGCTGGGACTGCAGCTCCAGTCCCCAAGCTGGGACTGCAGCTCCAGTCCCCAAGCTGGGACTGCAGCTCCAGTCCCCAAGCTGGGACTGCAGCTCCAGTCCCCAAGCTGGGACTGCAGCTCCAGTCCCCAAGCTGGGACTGCAGCTCCAGTCCCCACGCTGAGACTGCAGCTCCAGTCCCCAAGCTGGGACTGCAGCTCCAGTCCCCAAGCCGGGACTGCAGCTCCAGTCCCCAAGCTGGGACTGCAGCTCCAGTCCCCAAGCTGGGACTGCAGCTCCAGTCCCCAAGCTGGGACTGCAGCTCCAGTCCCCAAGCTGGGACTGCAGCTCCAGTCCCCAAGCTGGGACTGCAGCTCCAGTCCCCAAGCTGGGACTGCAGCTCCAGTCCCCAAGCTGGGACTGCAGCTCCAGTCCCCAAGCTGGGACTGCAGCTCCAGTCCCCAAGCTGGGACTGCAGCTCCAGTCCCCAAGCTGGGACTGCAGCTCCAGTCCCCAAGCTGGGACTGCAGCTCCAGTCCCCAAGCTGGGACTGCAGCTCCAGTCCCCAAGCTGGGACTGCAGCTCCAGTCCCCAAGCTGGGACTGCAGCTCCAGTCCCCAAGCTGGGACTGCAGCTCCAGTCCCCAAGCTGGGACTGCAGCTCCAGTCCCCAAGCTGGGACTGCAGCTCCAGTCCCCAAGCTGGGACTGCAGCTCCAGTCCCCAAGCCGGGACTGCAGCTCCAGTCCCCAAGCCGGGACTGCAGCTCCAGTCCCCAAGCTGGGACTGCAGCTCCAGTCCCCAAGCTGGGACTGCAGCTCCAGTCCCCAAGCTGGGACTGCAGCTCCAGTCCCCAAGCTGGGACTGCAGCTCCAGTCCCCAAGCTGGGACTGCAGCTCCAGTCCCCAAGCTGGGACTGCAGCTCCAGTCCCCAAGCTGGGACTGCAGCTCCAGTCCCCACGCCGGGACTGCTGCTCCAGTCCCCAAGCCGGGACTGCAGCTCCAGTCCCCAAGCCGGGACTGCAGCTCCAGTCCCCACGCGGGGACTGCAGCTCCAGTCCCCAAGCCGGGACTGCAGCTCCAGTCCCCACGGCGGGACTGCAGCTCCAGTCCCCACGGCGGGACTGCAGCTCCAGTCCCCAAGCCGGGACTGCAGCTCCAGTCCCCAAGCTGGGACTGCAGCTCCAGTCCCCAAGGCGGGACTGCAGCTCCAGTCCCCACGCCGGGACTGCTGCTCCAGTCCCCAAGCCGGGACTGCAGCTCCAGTCCCCAAGCCGGGACTGCAGCTCCAGTCCCCAAGCCGGGACTGCAGCTCCAGTCCCCAAGCCGGGACTGCAGCTCCAGTCCCCAAGCCGGGACTGCAGCTCCAGTCCCCACGGCGGGACTGCAGCTGCTCCAGTCCCCACGCCGGGACTGCAGCTCTAGTCCCCAAGCCGGGACTGCAGCTCCAGTCCCCAAGCCGGGACTGCAGCTCCAGTCCCCAAGCCGGGACTGCAGCTCCAGTCCCCAAGCTGGGACTGCAGCTCCAGTCCCCAAGCCGGGACTGCAGCTCCAGTCCCCAAGCTGGGACTGCAGCTCCAGTCCCCACGCCGGGACTGCAGCTCCAGTTCCCACGCCGGGACTGCAGCTCCTGTCCCCACGCCGGGACTGCAGCTCCAGTCCCCAAGCCGGGACTGCAGCTCCAGTCCCCACGGCGGGACTGCAGCTCCAGTCCCCAAGCCGGGACTGCAGCTCCAGTCCCCACGCCGGGACTGCAGCTCCAGTCTCCACGCCGGGACTGCAGCTCCAGTCCCCAAGCTGGGACTGCAGCTCCAGTCCCCAAGCTGGGACTGCAGCTCCAGTCCCTGAGCCGGTTCTGCAGCTCCAGTCCCCAAGCCGGGACTGCAGCTCCAGTCCCCAAGCTGGGACTGCAGCTCCAGTCCCCAAGCTGGGACTGCAGCTCCAGTCCCCAAGCTGGGACTGCAGCTCCAGTCCCCAAGCTGGGACTGCAGCTCCAGTCCCCAAGCTGGGACTGCAGCTCCAGTCCCCAAGCTGGGACTGCAGCTCCAGTCCCCAAGCTGGGACTGCAGCTCCAGTCCCCAAGCTGGGACTGCAGCTCCAGTCCCCACGCTGAGACTGCAGCTCCAGTCCCCAAGCTGGGACTGCAGCTCCAGTCCCCAAGCCGGGACTGCAGCTCCAGTCCCCAAGCTGGGACTGCAGCTCCAGTCCCCAAGCTGGGACTGCAGCTCCAGTCCCCAAGCTGGGACTGCAGCTCCAGTCCCCAAGCTGGGACTGCAGCTCCAGTCCCCAAGCTGGGACTGCAGCTCCAGTCCCCAAGCTGGGACTGCAGCTCCAGTCCCCAAGCTGGGACTGCAGCTCCAGTCCCCAAGCTGGGACTGCAGCTCCAGTCCCCAAGCTGGGACTGCAGCTCCAGTCCCCAAGCTGGGACTGCAGCTCCAGTCCCCAAGCTGGGACTGCAGCTCCAGTCCCCAAGCTGGGACTGCAGCTCCAGTCCCCAAGCTGGGACTGCAGCTCCAGTCCCCAAGCTGGGACTGCAGCTCCAGTCCCCAAGCTGGGACTGCAGCTCCAGTCCCCAAGCTGGGACTGCAGCTCCAGTCCCCAAGCTGGGACTGCAGCTCCAGTCCCCACGCTGGGACTGCAGTTCCAGTCCCCATGCCGGGACTGCAGCTCCAGTCCCCAAGCCGGGACTGCAGCTCCAGTCCCCAAGCTGGGACTGCAGCTCCAGTCCCCAAGCTGGGACTGCAGCTCCAGTCCCCAAGCTGGGACTGCAGCTCCAGTCCCCAAGCTGGGACTGCAGCTCCAGTCCCCAAGCTGGGACTGCAGCTCCAGTCCCCAAGCTGGGACTGCAGCTCCAGTCCCCAAGCTGGGACTGCAGCTCCAGTCCCCAAGCCGGGACTGCAGCTCCAGTCCCCAAGCCGGGACTGCAGCTCCAGTCCCCAAGCTGGGACTGCAGCTCCAGTCCCCAAGCTGGGACTGCAGCTCCAGTCCCCAAGCTGGGACTGCAGCTCCAGTCCCCAAGCTGGGACTGCAGCTCCAGTCCCCAAGCTGGGACTGCAGCTCCAGTCCCCAAGCTGGGACTGCAGCTCCAGTCCCCAAGCTGGGACTGCAGCTCCAGTCCCCAAGCTGGGACTGCAGCTCCAGTCCCCAAGCTGGGACTGCAGCTCCAGTCCCCAAGCTGGGACTGCAGCTCCAGTCCCCAAGCCGGGACTGCAGCTCCAGTCCCCAAGCCGGGACTGCAGCTCCAGTCCCCAAGCTGGGACTGCAGCTCCAGTCCCCAAGCTGGGACTGCAGCTCCAGTCCCCAAGCTGGGACTGCAGCTCCAGTCCCCAAGCTGGGACTGCAGCTCCAGTCCCCAAGCTGGGACTGCAGCTCCAGTCCCCAAGCTGGGACTGCAGCTCCAGTCCCCGAGCCGGGACTGCAGCTCCAGTCCCCAAGCCGGGACTGCAGCTCCAGTCCCCAAGCTGGGACTGCAGCTCCAGTCCCCAAGCTGGGACTGCAGCTCCAGTCCCCAAGCTGGGACTGCAGCTCCAGTCCCCAAGCTGGGACTGCAGCTCCAGTCCCCAAGCTGGGACTGCAGCTCCAGTCCCCAAGCTGGGACTGCAGCTCCAGTCCCCAAGCTGGGACTGCAGCTCCAGTCCCCAAGCTGGGACTGCAGCTCCAGTCCCCAAGCTGGGACTGCAGCTCCAGTCCCCACGCTGGGACTGCCCACCGAGAGGTGTGGGCGACGGTGGTGGTGCTGCGTTTGCCGTACGTGTTGGTATTTGAAGACGATGCAAAGATTGTGGTGGGTGGGAATGCGGCGTGGAAGCAGCGGATGGAAGGGGCGAGCATTCTAATCCCATCTCGTCATGCTTGATTTTTATTGATTCCTTACCATTCCTTTTTTTCTTTCTTTTCTTTTCTTCTGAAGTTACCCTTATCCCTGCATATCCCCTCCCAACCCCTTGAAACCCCTCACAACCGCTCTCCACCCCTCCTACCTCCCCCCTATGCCGCTCCTGCGTCAACTCAACCTTCTAATCATTCAGAACGGCAGCCGCTATTTCTTCGATGTGCTACTGCTGGCAACCCCAGCATCCCTGCACAACCCCTCTCAACCTCTCCCAACCCCTCACAACTTCTCTCTTCACCTCTTGTCCCTCACAGCTCCTGCGTCAGCTCAACCTCCTAATAATCCAGAACGGCAACCGCTGCTTCTTTGATGTGCTGCTGCTGGTCATCCCAACAGCCCTGCACAACCCCTCCCAACCCCTCCCAACCTCTCACAACCACTTTCCTCCCCTCATCATTCCCCCCTGTGCAGCTCCTGCGCCAGCTCAACCTCCTAATAATCCAGAACGGCAACCGCTTCTTCTTCGACGTGCTGCTGCTGGCACGCTCCGCCCTCGCGCCCTACTCGGAGCAGCAGCTCACGGCCAACATCATGAAGGCTCAGCCCAGCATGGGATCCCATGCTTACCTCATCACCTACGCCGGCGCTAAAAAGATGCTCTCGCAAATGCGGCTCAAAGTGTAAGTGAGCAGTGAGCCATCCCTCTGCGCTGCTGCTACTCCAAGCAGCTCACAGCCAACATCGTGAAGGCACAGCCCAGCATGGGGTCGCAAGCCTTCCTCATTACGAATGCAGGGGCCTAGAAGATGCTTGCAGCTTGTATGCGCCTGCACGTGTTGTGAGTGCGCTGTATTGCATGCATGTCAGTGCTCCCTCCTCTCTCCTCCACGTGGCCTCTTCCTTCATCCCTAGTTTCACTATTCGCCTCGCCTTGCGTCTACTCTCCACCCCTTCCCCACTCGCTACACCCCACCAGGCCAATATCAGAGGCCCTTTTCACCGTCCCACACGCGCACATCCTAGCAGCCGACCCGCCTCTCTTCAACTCCCAGATGTTCATGTGCCGCCGCCCAGATGTTCATGTGCCGCCGCCCAGATGTTCATGTGCCGCCGCCCAGATGTTCATGTGCCGCCGCCCAGATGTTCATGTGCCGCCGCCCAGATGTTCATGTGCCGCCGCCCAGATGTTCATGTGCCGCCGCCCAGATGTTCATGTGCCGCCCAGATGTTCATGTGCCGCCGCCCAGATGTTCATGTGCCGCCGCCCGATGTTCATGTGCCGCCGCCCAGATGTTCATGTGCCGCCGCCCAGATGTTCATGTGCCGCCGCCCAGATGTTCATGTGCCGCCGCCCAGATGTTCATGTGCCGCCGCCCAGATGTTCATGTGCCGCCGCCCAGATGTTCATGTGCCGCCGCCCAGATGTTCATGTGCCGCCGCCCAGATGTTCATGTGCCGCCGCCCAGATGTTCATGTGCCGCCGCCCAGATTTTCATGTGCCGCCGCCCAGATGTTCATGTGCCGCCGCCCAGATGTTCATGTGCCGCCGCCCAGATGTTCATGTGCCGCCGCCCAGATGTTCATGTGCCGCCGCCCAGATGTTCATGTGCCGCCGCCCCAAGCCCTGCCCTTCATTCTCCCTGCATCTTAGTTGCGCCGCCGTCCGCCCCACCAACCCCTCATACCCCCTACCTCCATCCTTCCCCAGTTTCACATTTCGCCTCAACCTTGGCTCTACTCTCCCTACCCCGTCTCCCCACCCGCTTTCCCCACCAGGCCAATATCAGAGGCCTTTTTCACCGTCCCACACGCGCACATCCTGGCAGCGGACCCGCCTCTCTTCAACTCTCAGATGTTCATGTGCCGGCCCAAGCCCTGCCGTGCCCCGCCCCTCGACCTCTACTCCTCCTCCCGCCTCTCCTTTTCCTGCCGGGAAACCCTCTTCCTCAGCTTCCCCGGGCACCCCCGAATCCGGGGGAATATCGTGAAGAAGGATTGGGTGAGACAGGCATCGGCGGAAGCAGGAGCTAGTGCGACCATTGCTGTGGATGCTGATTGTGGGACACCTGCGCAGTGCCTGATTAGATCTCACCAGGAGATTCTTCAGGTGCCAGGGTCAGGTGCCCAGGTGAATCTCCAGGTGAATTCTGAGGTGATTATCCAGGTGCCAGGGATAAGACCACCTGCAGGGGTACGCATGGTGGTGATGAGATCCATGCCGCCCAAACTAGCCATGTGGCCGACATTCGTGATCGGATTGGCTGAAGATGCCGACCGGTTCGTCTCATTGGAACCTGTGTTACAGCAGCAGGGCTTTGGAGAGATCGTCAAGGCAAACGGCATTTCAGTCTCCAACACAGATTACCAAGTGCTGACTCACCTGGTGGACAAGGAGCATCGGGCCCGCACCCGAACCACGCCCTGGTGGCAGGAGAAGCAGGCCCGGCCGACCCTGAGCAAGGGCGAGGTGGGGTGCGCGCTTTCCCACTACTTTGTCTGGTTAGAAGTCGTGCGAAGGCAGCTCCCATACGCCATCATATTCGAAGACGACGTTCGGTTCTTGACACACTCTTTCAAAGAGGTCTTTGAGCGAGACGTGGCGGAAGCCAACGAGGTGATCACACGCGAGATCAACCCGTTCCGGCCCGATATAGTCTTCCTCGGAAAATCCGGCATCATGACTTCCTTCTACTACCCGAAGCTCTCCCAACACGTGGTTATCTCCCCGCTCGTGTGGTGCTCGTTCGCGTATATAGTGTCTTTGGAGGGCGCTCGGAAGCTGGTGGAGAGGTTCTTTGTGAATGATCCGGTGGACTCGTACTGGTGGCAGGTGCCTGAAATGCAGTTCTGGGCGTTTGAACCGTCGCTGGCGGATCATCTGACGGTGAAGAGGAAGAAGAGGGGCAAGGGCGTGCAGTTTGTGAGCAGGGTACAGGGGACTGACAGCGAGTGGTAGGGGTAGCAAGCAGGTGTTGCTGTCCCTCTCTCTCCCCTTTCTCAGATCCACCGAGTATGTATGGTACTGACTCCTGGGTGGGAGTGGTAGTGGCTGGTAGATGCGATATCCATTGTAATGGAACATTGCTTGTTATACTTCTGATGGGTGTAATGTAATGTAACAGTTGCGTTGCGTTGCTCCTGACATGGCATGACAACAATGAGGGTGGGCTTGGTGCCGTACAACAGGATAGGCTTGCTTGCTTCATGCTTGCTCCACTATGCCTTGCAGTACATGTCTCTCAATGAAGCATTATATCCATAATACACCAGAGTCATGCCATATCCATGTTAATGGTGGCCAGGATTCTTCTTTGCAGCTGCAGCCTTCTTTGCCTGGGCAATCAGGGCGCCACGCACGGAAAGCAAACAACAGAAAATCCAAAAAAGGGCTTCAAAACAATATACAACCAGCACATTAGAGGGTCTGAAGGCATGTGGGCAAGGGGTAGCGTCGTTGGGTTTGCAACAGAACGATCAGTCAACAGAAGAGCTCACAAATCGAGCATTCACAATTAACGTGGCCTAAGGCAAAGACGCAGGAAAAGGAGATCCTGTTTCGAGTCGACTCAAACAGGAAAGGAGACCCTAACCGGAGGTATGTGAGCATGGTGACGCCGTAGGCGACAACCACGCCAACAGCCACAATGAGAGCTCGCAAATGGAAAATGACAAATGATCACGATTCGAAAGACCAGGTATGACGGCAGGAAAGCCGGCGAAGCTATTCCTACCTGAAGGTACGTGAGCATCGTCGCGTCGTAGGCGACACCCACTCCAACAGTCACAATGAGAGTTGCAGGGTGTTTTTGAGAATTCTCAAAAACACCGTGCAACAAATCGGGAATTCACACATTGAAACATCATGGATCACGAGTCCTAGGCCAGGAAATCAGGCGAAGCTATTCCTACCCGGAGGTATGTGAGCATCGTCGCGCCGTAGGCGAGACCCACTCCAACTGCCGAAACCCTCGCGATCTGCGGAAAGAAACAACGAGATCCGTGAGCACGTGTCGAAGCCTGGTTGGTTGCGATGACGGACAGCAGATCCGACGGTAACGAGCGCTAGTCATTCGGCAATCCGATGCAAGAATCACGCGCGAAGCAGAGTTTACTAAACGACGGGATTGCGACAAAAAACCGAGAAAGCAAACACTCACAAGAGCGAGCGAGCTCTTTCCGGTGTACGGCATCTTCGCGAGCTACGGTATCAGCTGCCTTGACAAAGATGCCTTGACCAACTGATTGACAGCAGCTGCAGCTGCTTGAAATGCAGCGTAGCGGGAGTGACGGCAGCAGGAGCGAGAGGTCTCTCGCACGGCGCGTGCAAGGCAGCAATGAAACTAGGCTTGTGCTGTGGTGTGTGGCTATGGCTGCCAAACAATGGCGAACCCTGTTTGCTTTACGAGGGTGGAGTGTGGAGTTCACGACACTGAGGGTAACAACACGGTCCGTTACGGTTGGAGACGGTGGAAGACAAAAGTTGTAATGATGTATGGTATACCATTTTCACACTTTATACCTCTAATGACCTACAATACGAATTTATTACCCTAGTCAATTGCAAACATCCGCAATTTCATTTTCCCCATTTGACAATATCAAGATCACCACAATTTCACTTGCTCCTCCACCTGCCCCACCCTTTCCTGCGTGCCTTCATCGTCATCTGCAGCTTTACCGCCTTGAGCTCCATAACTTCCAGTTTCAGACTTGTCACCCCCCCTCTCACTCTCTGCTGCCATGCTCTCTTCGCAAACGCCCCCGCCGTGCCCATCCCTCCCCTTGTCCTGTTCCCCCCCTCTCTCCCCCCCGCTCCCAGCAAATCCTCAGAACCCTGTCCGGGCGACCCCGAATCTGCTGCTATTGGGCCGGGACGGACGAGGTTAAGTGGGAACTCTTCGAACTCTGTTACATAAGCGCCGGAGAAGAGACGAGCGAGGTGCACTTGGCCAGTGGGGGTGAGCTTGCAGGGAGCCTCACGGTGCGCGCCCCCAAAGCTGTGATCGAAGCCCCTGCGGTGCAGCAGCAGGGCTAGAGGCGGCTCAGAATGCACCTGAGAGAGTGGGAAAGCAAGGGAGGCAGAGAGAGGGGGGGTTGCAGGGAGCATGGTGAGCTTGCAGGGAGCCTCAAGGCAGGAGCCCCCATATCTGTGGTCGAAGCCCCTGTGGTGCAGCACGAGGCTAGAGGCGGCTAAGACTGGGAGAGGGAGAGCGAGGCAAAAGGAGGTCAGTGAATGGCGTTGTTAGGAGCCTCAAGTGGGCGCCTTGATACGAGAGCTCGAGGCGGCTTGGAATGCACCTGAAGGTGGGTGAGCAAGGGTGGGGAGGTTGCAGGGAGCTGCACTGTGGAAACCATGAGAAAGGGCAAGAGTGTGAGAAAGGGCAAGAGTGTGAGAAAGGGCAAGAGTGTGAGAAAGCTTGTGGCGTGGAGAGGGACGAGATTTGATAGGAATACAAGGTGGGTGGGAGAGAGAACTGACTGAGTGCAAAAGAGAGCAAGCAGAATGGGAAGGGGGCGCGTACCGAGGCATTGGGCATGGGCCGATGCACCTTGAAGCTGACCACATGCATGTTACACGGTAGGGGGCGGCCAAGTGGAGAATACGTCCAACCAAGGCCGCCCGGTTTCGGCTCCACAGTGCCAGCCAAAACACCCGGTTTCACTGCCTTCCCTCCATTGCTGCTGCTGCTGCTGCCACTCCCCTTTCTGCCCGCCCCTCTTCCAGCATCTCCATCCTGCCCGGAAACAAATCTCGATGGGCTTTCGGGCTGCCCGACGAAGAGATACAGCGGGTAGTTGAGCCGGGAGCCGATTCGTTGCGAAGTGAGGGAGGGGAGGAGGGCGGCGGAGGAGGAGGGGGCGGGGAAGGGGCGGGCGGAGGTGTTTCGTTCGAGGACGAGGTGGAAGACGGTGTGTGTGGGGTGGTTGTCTATCACGCCCTGCTGCATGCCCCTGTTGTCGTCCTGTGGGAGGCGGCGATCCAACATCATTTCCAACCAGCCAGTCTGGTGTGGGAAGGGAGTTGGGTGGGGGGGGGAGTGTGGGGATAGAGGAGGGAGGGGACGAGGGAGTAAGGAAGGGCGGGAGAGAGTGGGAGAAGCGCGTCCCGATCCTTGTTTAAAGTCCAAACAACAATAATCACTCGCAACGCAACGAACATGAGACAGATAGGCATGTATGTGGCTCACCTTGAGGCTGGCCACGCCCACGGCCTGCCGCGTGTGCACTGAGAACCTGATGCCCCCAAGGGGTCTTGAATAAACGCGAGGGCGGGCATGGGGTAGAGGTTGCCCGGCGTGGAGAAACTATTTTGGCTCAACACACACCCTGTAGACCATAACGCACCTTGCAACGAGCCAGCCACCCACCTTGAGACTGGCCACGCCCACAGCCTGGCGCGTGTGCACGGAGAACCTGATTCCAGAGGGGTCTTGGATAAACGCGAGGGCGGGCATGGGGTAGAAGTTGCCCTGCGTGGGGAGCTTGGGAAGGGTCTCGCGGCGGACGGTCTGGAAGCCATTGGAGTCGGTGTAGAAGAGATGCGAGGAGTCGATGGACGTGCGGTAGCGCACCACCAGCTCCTTGTTGTCCACCGCTGTTGATGAGATGTTCACGTGATGGCGTGTCTCTATTAACAGACCCTGGGGGAAGTGGGGGAGGGGGGAGAGGGAGAGAGGAGTCGATGGACGTGCGGTAGCGCACCACCAGCTCCTTGTTGTCCACTGCTGTGGAGGAGATGTTCACGTGATGGCGTGTCTCTATTAACAGACCCTGGGGGAAGTGGGGGAGGGGGGAGAGGGAGAGAGGAGTCGATGGACGTGCGGTAGCGGACGACAAGCTCCTCTATCAGCAGGCCCTGGTGCAGGGGGAAAGGGCGCACGGTGAGGGGGGAAGGGGGGGCAGAGAAGGAGTCGATGGACGTGCGGTATGGTAGCGCACCACCAGCTCCTTGTTGTCCACTGCCGTGGCTGAGATGTTCACATGATGGCGGAGGAAAAGGTCTGGAAGGCATTGGAGTCGGTAAAAAAGAGGTGCGAGGAGTCGATGGACGTGCGGTATGGTAGCGCACCACCAGCTCCTTGTTGTCCATCGCTGGTGGATGGGATAGGGGCACGATAGGAGAGGAGGATGTGGGGAGGGAGAAGGGGAAAGGCAGAGTAAAGGGCTGGGACAGTAGCGCACCATGAGCTCCTTGCCGCCCACCGCTGTTGATGAGATGTTCACCCGGTGCCGTGCCTCCATCAGCAGGCCCTGGGGGGTGGGTTGGGAGGGGCGCGGGGGGGGCATGGCGAATGGGGGGGGGTTTGGGAATGAGATGGGGAGAGAGCGCACTCGGGAGAGATGGGGGGGGGGCATGACGCGACCTCGCTTTGTATAGAGCTCGGAGAAACACCTGGGGACCCACCCACCTGAGGGGCCCGGGACTTTGTAGAGCATGACGGAGCGCACAACAGGCATTACAGTCGCCTCCTCTTCCTCCTCCTCCAACATTGGCTCGTCCATGACCTGTGGCTCCTCCAGCCCATCCGCTGCCTCCTCCCACCCTTGCTTCACACCAACATGCCCTGGGGGGAGCGCACCTGAGGGGCTCGGACTTTGTAGAGCATGACAGAGCGCACAACCGGCATCACAGGCCCATCCTCCTCCTCGTCCTCGTCCACAACTTGTGGCTCCTCCAGCCCATCCGCTGCCTCCTCCCACCCTTGCTTCTCCGTCTTGGCAGCCTCCTCTGCTACCTTCTGAAGCTCATCCAAGTTTAGAGCATCCACCGCACTGCCCAGATCCCCGCTGCCGCCACTGCCGCCACCGATGCCGCCGCCGCTGCTGCTTTCCCAGTCGCGGCGGGTCACGGCTATGCTCTCTGGTTCAGGCTTCTCCTGCTCCCCTTCGTCCTCCTCTACCCCTACCTCGTGCCCCTCGTCCCCCCCTCCATCCGCCCCTCTTATGCTCTCCGCATCACGACCAGCACCACCATCACCGCCATTAACATCACCAACACCACCGGCACCAACACCACCACTACCAGCATCATCATCACCAGCAGCACCAGCACCAGCACCATCACCACCATCAGCAGCAGCAGTATCTGAGCTGTACACTGTAATGACTTGCTGTTCGGGTAAGTCAGATCTAGCAGCAGCATCGAAGTCACTGTCATCATGCACTCTGTTACGGAACCTATGACCAACCTCGCCTCCTGCTGCTCCTACCCCTCCTTCTCCCACCCCTCCTTCTCCCACCCCTCCTTCTCCCACCCCTCCTCCTGGCAGCCCTTCATGAAAACTAGGCGTTCCTGCTCCACTCTCAGCTCCTTCACTCATTCCTTCTCCTCCTGCAACCGCAGCTGAGCCAGCCCCAGTACCTTCACCACCAGCACCAGCACCAGCACCAACAGCACCACTTGCGTCTGTCATTCCTTCCTGCTGCTGCTGTCCCCTTCTCTTTCTCCGCTTCATCTTCCCTTTCCTGCCCTTCTTCCTCGTCCCTACCCCTGCCCCCATACCATCGACATCACCACCACCACCACTCCCACTTTCCCCTAACCCTGCCGCGTCTTCAGCCCTGCCAATATCACCACGAGCAACTCCACCAGCCTCCCCACTTTCCCCACTCACACTTCTCTTCCGCCCCTTCCTGCCCTTCCGTTTCTTCCTGCCCTTTCGCCTCACCTGCAAAAGCTTTCTCCTCAAACCCTCAACCACTGCCTCCCCATCCCCTCCCACCATTTCTGCTACAGCTTCTGATACCCCCCCTGCGTGATTCTCAACTACAGCATGTTTTTCACCTGCAAGCATGTGAACTGTCTTTTGAGACGTCTCAAAAGCCCCCCCTGCGTGATTCTCAACTACAGCATGTTTTTCACCTGCAAGCATGCGAACTGTCTGGGTGTGATCCCCCTCCTCCTCCTCCCCACCCTCCTCCTCCCCGTCCTCCTCCTCCCCCTTCTCCTCTTCCTCGGCCTCCTCCTCTCCCTCATCATCATCAGCAGCAACAACTTCATCCCCCTCATCCTCCTCTTCCCCCTCTCCCTCATCATCACCTGCAGCAACTTCCTCCTCCTCCTCCTCTTCCTCCTCTTCCTCCTCTTCCTCCTCTTCCTCCTCTTCCTCCTCTTCCTCCTCTTCCTCATCCTCCTCCTCTTCCTCACCACCACCCTCCTCCAGCAGTCGTCTCCGAGCCACCTGGAACTGTCTCAGCTGCTGCATTCTCCCTGAATACGGCCCCACTTCTACCTCTGGATACTGCAGCTGCTGCAAACTCACCCCTCGCCCTCCCTCCCCTCCTTGCCCTCCCTCCGCCCTCTGCCCGCCCTGCCCTTGCTGATCTTGCCGCCACACCACCACATCCCCCGGCTGTGCCCGCTGTCTCAGCCTCTCTCTCATCGCCTCCACTTCATTCAGCGGATGCACCACCTGCTGCTCCCCTCCGCCTCCCATCTGGCCCTGCCCCTGCACCTGTGCTTGTTCCTGCACATGCTCCTGTGCTTGTATATTCTCGTTCCTGTCCATCTGATGCATACGCATACGCTCACGATGCTCATGCATATGCGCACGCTCGCGCTCACGCCAATGCTCATGCCCATGCCCATGGCCATGCCTGTGCCCGTAAGATTGCAAATGGTTCAAAGCAGCATTTCTCAGGGACTCTCTCAATACTCTCAGCCCTTCCTCCCCTCCACCCCCCCCCTGAGCCTCCCTATCCCGCGGCCTCTGCAGCACCGTCCCTGCTGCCGCTGCTGCTGCTGCTGCTGCCACTGCCGCTGCTGCTGCCGCAGCTGCTGCTGCCGCTGCCGCCGCCACAGCCGCCGCTGCTGCTGCTGCCATCCTGCCTGCCCTGTCCCATCCCACGATTCCACAGGGAGGAAACTAAACACCGTATGCACCTCCTCTGCCACCTCCCCCCGGGAAATAAACGACGCGCCTCCATCAGTGACTATCGGAACCGCATCACCCCCAGGGAGAAACAGATAAGCCCCGCTCCGCCCAGTGTACACTGCATATTGCTCGTCTACTATAGTATCCCTGATTATTCTCCTATGCTGGATATTCTTCATGAGCCCACTCGCAGCGTAGAACCTGACCCGCTGCTCGTGGTTCCCGATGGAAAAGGCGTCGTCTTCCTTTGGGTCATGCACGGTGCAGTTATACGGCTTCGGGCAGACGAACCCCGCGGGCGGGTTGGAAACTTCGATGCGCGAGAGCTCTGCTGCCGGGCAGTTGGGCAAACTTTCGGGCGGCCCGACCACAAAGGTTTGCAGGCCGAGAGCTGGTACAGTGGCTACCCAAAACAACCGGTGCCTTCCTGTTGTGACAGTCAGAGGGGCGGCAGACTCAGCAGCAGCGGCAGCAGTAGCTGCAGCGGTGGCTGTGGCAGCAGCGGCGGAGTCAGTCTGGAGAGTGCCGCTATTAGTTGTGGTGGTGGAGGTGGCGTTTTGGGGAGGCTTGGGAGTGAAGGACGGCGGGTTGGCCCACTCGGGCATGACCTGGGCAGGAAGGCACGTTCCCTTGGGGCTGAGAACTGCAACAAGCGGGATCTCTACCACCACAGAGATGACCTGTGAAGGAAGGCGGGCGGGGGTGGGGGAGGGGGGAAGAGGGGAGGCGGGGAGTGGGGGAAGGCGGCAGCATAAGGTGGGCAGGAGCGAGTACAGAAACGGAGGAAAAGGAGAAACAAGAGGAACACCGTGCCTGCTCTCTGCTCCCCTCTCATCTTCCTTCTCATCTCCCCTCTCATCTTCCTTCTCATCTCCCCTCTCATCTTCCTTCTCATCTCCCCTCTCATCTCTCAGCTCACCTGCTTCACATCCTCCTCCAGCGGGTTATGCACCACAATGCGCCGCACAGTGCCTGCCTGCTCTCTGACTGCTCCTCTCTCATCTTCCCTCTCACCTGCTCCCCTCCCACATGTCCCCCTCGCTCACCTGCTTCACATCCTCCTCTAGCGGATTATACACCACAATGCGCCGCACAGTGCCACCTCCTCCCTGCTCCTCCTGCACCTCTAGCCCCCTCTGCTCTGTGCCTGACTGCTCCCCTACTTTCACCTCCAAAACACGCCGCCTGGCCCCTGCGCCCGCGCCCCTCTCCCCTCCCTCTCCTCCACCGCCCACCCCAGCGGACCCGGGAGTGGAGGAGGGGGTGTGGGGGGAGGAAGCGGGGAAGGAGAGGGGGAGGTGGGAGGGCAGGATGTGCTGCTGCGTGCGGTGCTGCTCTGGGCGCAGCTGTACTGGCGACTTCTCAGGGTCCTGTGTGGGCGAGTCTGCCAGCAGAGCCACCACCGCCGCACACATGAGGTCCTGCCGGGCAGATGGGGAACAGACGAGGAAAGACAAGGGGGAAAGGATCGGGATGATGAGTGGGCGCAAAGATGGGGGCAAGGGGAGGAAGGGGGGGACATGGGGTGTGGCACGTACATTGAGGTCGTTAAGAGCAGTGTGCATGCGCAGCCCATAGTACACCACCACAGGACAGGGTCCCAGCCTGGAAGTGAAGTCAAAGGCCTCCTAGTCTGTGTCCGTGTCTGGAAAAGGGCAACTGCCTTGCCTGTGCTTCAAGTCGGTCCCAGTGGATCCCAGCCGGACGTACATTGAGGTTGTTGAGATCAGAGTGCATGTGCAGCCCATAGTCCACCACCACAGGGTCCCAGGCTAGAAGCTCTAAACAGTGAACTTACCTGTGCTCGCAGTGCTACCAGTGCTACCAGTGCTACCAGTGCCTATCAAGGGGCGCGTACATTGAGGTCGTTGAGAGCAGTGTGCATGCGCAGCCCATAGTCCACCACCGCGGGGTGCCACTATGGGGTCTGAGCCATCTAGTCTGTGTCCGTGTGTGGAAGAGAGCACTCTCCTGTGCTCCCAGGGGGTCCCAGTGCCACGTACATTGAGGTCATTAAGAGCATTGTGCATGCGAAGCCCATAGTCCACCACCACGGGGTCCCTTGCCGTGCCTGTGATGCCGTCGTGGTGCTGAAACAGCGCCAGGTTGCGCCGCGCTCGCACCAGCCGCTCTGCGAAACTGGTGAAGCAAGGGGGGAGACAAGAGGGGATGGTCGTCGTTGTTGAGGTGCCTCCTCGCCCAATACGTGCCGGTAACGCCGTCATGGTATTGAAACAGCGCCAGGTTGCGCCACGCTCGAACCAGCCGCTCTGCGAAACTGCAAAGCCGCCGGGCAGAATGGAAAAAGCAGGGTTGGTTGGTTGCTGCTACCATGGTGCCTCATTGAGGTGCCTTCAGTGCCTCTGAATCGATTTTGCCTCTATTGAAAAGCAATCAGCATTCAATAGAGCACTCACTTGAGCGGGAACAGCAGATGCCTGAAGTTGTCCTCTCCACGCTGCCCTCCGCCCACCCCCCTCCCCTCCTTCCCTCCCCCCTTCTCCATCCACTCCGCCTGCTCTGCCAGTCTCTCCATCACCTTCCCCACCTCTCCCCCCCCCCCACTCCCCCTCCCCAGCATCCGCGCCATCAGCCCCCCCCCTCCCCCACCCCCCCTCGCCTGCAGCTGAGACCACGTGAGAGCAAAGAGGATATCTGCTGCTCGTACAGCAGACTCAAGCACGCGGTCTACTGCTTTCCAGAAGGGGCGGGAGGTGTAGTAGCCGCTCCAGTAGTCCTGCTCTCGGTCCGCGTATGTGAAGAAATCGCCCGAGAGAGAGGGCAGGCTCGGGCGGAGCGAGGGGGGGAGGGAGTAGAGGTGTGCAGCGAGAGAGGAGGGGAGAGAGGAGGGGAGAGAGGAGGGGAGAGAGGAGGGGAGAGAGGAGGGGAGAGAGGAGGTGGAGGGGTGTGTGGAGAGCAGGTTGCGGTTGGAGATGGTGGTGGGCTCGGATGGGAGTTCGTGAGACGTGAACACTGGGTGCTCCGAAGGCAGGTCCTGCTGGGCCTCGGTAAGAGACGCCTCGTTAACAGCACTAGCCTCATTAACAGCGCCCTTGCTACGAAGAGTAGCGTCTCTAACAGCGGCCTCGCGGACAGCGTTGAAATAGTCGGCCAGGGTGCCGAAGCTGGCGTTGACTCGCAGGTGCGGGTGGCTGTTGAGGTAATCAAATAGGAGCTCGTAGTTGGTGAACTGGGCGTGGGCTTCTCTCATGGTTGGATACCTGAAGTCGTCCCCCAGAGGGACCAGCACCACCTTGGAGCGATAGAGGAGGGACTTCTTGCGCCACTGGTGGTTGGACACCGGCACAGGGGGTGGGGGCCGGAAAGGCAGAGAGGCAGGGGTGGGGGAGTGAGGGAAAGACAGGGAGCTTATAAGAGCTGGCTGTGTGCCTCCCGCATGGTGGGGTAGTGAAAGTCGTCACCCGGCATGCCTGCAAAGTCAAACTGGCAGCACACAGACAGACGGACAGCGGGACAGGGAGGCACAAGGGGAAGGCTCACCTGGTCCAGGATGGTGGCTGCCGTCTCTGCCACGTTCAGAGGTGTAACATCCACAGCAGGCGTGCCCCAGGGGCAGGAGTGAAAGCCAACCGCCACCAACCATGAGCGTTAAGTCAAACCGACAGACAGCACAGAGGGGCAGTCAGACGGACAGAGAGGCACAAGGTAGAGGCTCACCTGGTCCAGAATGGTGGCTGCCCTCTCCGCCACGTTCTGAGGTGTAATATCCACAGCAGGCGTGCCCCAGGGGCAGGAGTGCTCGCCAGTAGCCGTGCGCGCAAAGTCAAACTGGCAGCACACGGAGGGATCAGGCCCACACGTGTGTGGGATATCATATGAATAGAATGGCATCATATGGCACAGAATGTCCGTCTTCCGCTGCCGCTGCTGCTGCTGCTGCTGCTCCTGCTGCTGCTGCTGCTGCTCCTCCTGCACCTTCTGCTCCTGCTGCTGCTCCACCTGCTGCTCCACCTGCTGTTGCCGCTGCTGCTGCTCCTGATTGTTCACCCGCCCCTGCTTCTCCACCCCCCTGTTCCCCCCCTCCCTCCCCTCCCTCCCCCAGGGCTGCCTTCCCGCCGCTCTTATCCCACGCCTGGCGCCAGTAGAACTCTAAGTGCCGGCGCTTAGCTAAGACTTTCTTAACCTCGTAGTGCACGCGCTGAATGAGCATGTTGTGGAAGCCGGACTGGTGCAGCAGGTAGGGCATGGTGGCACTGTAGCCGAATGGGTCGATGGACCATGAGTTGGTGGGTACCACCCCCACTGCATCGTGAAGCCATGTGTTGCCCTCCGTTATCTGAGGTGGTGATGAGGGGGAAGAGGGGCGGAAGGAGGGAGGGAGGTGTAGGGGGGGACGACAGGAGGGGGCGGAATGGAGCGGGGTAGAGAAGGATGGAGTGAGAAATGGTTTCTGAGGCGTGTGAAGGAGCGGAGCAGCAGGTAAGGCATGGTGGCGCTGCAGCCGAATGGGTCGATGGACCATGAGTTGGTGGGCACCACCCCCACTGCATCGTGAAGCCATGTGTTGCCCTCCGTTATCTGGGGGGGGGTTGGGGGGAGAGGGGAGGAGGGGGGGAGGGAGGTGTGGGGGGGGGGGGGGGGGGAAGACGGGAGGGGGTGGGATGGAGCAGGGTGGAGAGGGATGGAGAGAGAAACGGTTCCTGAAATGTGTGAAGGACTGGTGCAGCAGGTAGGGCATGGTGGCACTGTAGCCGAATGGGTCGATGGACCATGAGTTGGTGGGCACCACGCCCACTGCATCGTGGAGCCATGTGTTGCCCTCCGTTATCTGGGGTAACAGGGAGGGAGGGGTGGGTAGGTGGAGGAGGGAGAGAAGGGGGAAGGGAGACAGACAAAAGGAAGGGGGATGTGGGAGGATAGGGAAGGGTGAGGGAACAGGGCAGAGAAGGTTGGAGCAAGAGATGATTATTGCGCTGGAGCAGTTAGGATGCGGTGGATGGTGCTGCAGCCGGAGGGGTTAAGGTTTAGGGTAGTGGGTTTGGTGGCATGATGGATCCAGAGTTGCAAGACAATTGTGAAAAGGAAAGGGGCGACTGGGAAGTGCTGCACTGGGCTTGAGGCGCATAGGAGGAGGACAAGGGGAGGGAAGGACAGAGGAGATAAAGGAAGGGGCGGGGAGGGAAGGACAGAGGAGATAAAGGAAGGGGCGGGGAGGGAAGGACAGAGGAGATAAAGGAAGGGGCGGGGAGGGAAGGACAGAGGAGATAAAGGAAGGGGCGGGGAGGGAAGGACAGAGGAGATAAAGGAAGGGGCGGGGAGGGAAGGACAGAGGAGATAAAGGAAGGGGCGGGGAGGGAAGGACAGAGGAGATAAAGGAAGGGGCGGGGAGGGGAGGAAAAAGGAATTACCTGTTCGAGGATGGCGAAGTAATGAGAGTTTGCCTGTACACACATGCACACACATATGGACACGAACAGATGGGGAGGGACGCCGGTCTGAGGTTACACACTGGGAGTCGGATATGGGGCACCGGCCATAAGGGCACCGGTCGGATGGGCCATTGAGGGTGGCTCGTGCCATGGGGCAGGGCATGCATGAGCATGGGGGGGCATGGGTGGGGCATGGGGCATGGAGCATTGCGCATAGAGCATGGGGCATGGGGAATGGGGCGTGGGGCATGGGGCGTGGGGCATGAGCATTCGATAAAAGGCTGAGAGCACTGGTGACCCATCCCCTCGCCACCTCCCCTCGTCATTCATAACCCACCCCCCCCACCTCTTCTCGTAATTCATAACCCATCTCCACCTCACCTCATCGTTCATGACCCATCCGCCGCCCACGATCTCGAGCTGTCCGTTCTGCAGCAGCGCCTTGAGTTTGCCCTTCATCTCCTCACTCGCGTCCATCCACCACCGCGACAGGTACGACATCTCCTCCCATATGAACTTGCGAGTCGGTTTCTAAAGGGGATGGGAATCAACAGGGAGCGAAAAAGACAGGAGCTTCAGGGAAGGGAGTAACCAGACCAGTTTATTCACAGCAAAGGCAACAACAACAAAGCTTACTTCCTTCCTGCACTGCACCTGAGCTGAAATCACCACACCAAGCATCCTCACTACAAGCACACTCTCATAGAAAACACTCGTTATAAGCACACCTCGGAGAGGGAGTTGACGATGGTGTCGATGATGCCGCGTGTGCTCGACTTGTAATACTCTTCCACCGTCTGCAGCCAGCCAGGGTCGTTGTGGGAGTGCGGCACCACCAGCACTCGCAACGGCTCCTCGTCCCACTCGTGCCCCGTGTACCCGAGGGGGAAACCCTGTCACACAAGGCGACAAAAAAAAAAAAAAACAGACAAAAACAGACTCCAGGGGGAAACCCTGTGAGACAAAAGCGACATGGACAGACAGATGCTTCGTTTATATTTTGCACCCACGGACTCAGATTTGCTCACACACTCATTTGACCCAAATCCGCTCACCAACGCACCCACCCACCTGTGAACCCAACCCACCCACCCACCTGCGTCCACATGCCTCCTGGTAATTGTTAAATGGCCAACCCACCTGCGCCCACGCGCGTCCGGGTAGATTCTCAAACGCGATCTTACTTTGAGGCGTCTCAAAACTCACACCCAGCCCACCCACCTGCGTCCACACGCCTCCCGGAAGGTTCTCGAACGCGATCTCGTCGTACAGGGCCTTGGTGGTGACGTCAGCGGTGGGCTCGTCAGCCAATGCGGGGTCGCCAGGTACGCGCTCCACGTCACTGCCGCCCAGCAGGAAGGACCACACGCGGAGAGGGGGGCTGTCCACCTCCCGGCCTGATAGATTTGGAGAGGTTGAGAGGGGTGAAACAAGCGGGTCCGGGTTGATGTTATAGAATAAAAAAATGCAACAGATAAGAAGGCTTTGGCTTCATTCAGGCTCATTTCAAATCTTTGGTAAGGAGAAGGCACAGGCGGGACGGTTTGCAATTAGAGACGATTCGCCATGGATTTCACTTGGGGAGCGAAAAAGCGGGGCGGAAATGGTGCGAAAAAGGTTTAGGCAATAGTGTGATGGTGAGACGTAAACGGTCTGGTGACGTTATGCTACTGCTCGCCACTACTATTTAAACTTATCTAGCCGCATTTGGCGGCAGATCCTGATAAACATTCAGTTTATCCAACTGTAGGAGTCGCAAAAACAGCGAAAAGGCGAGTCGCGATCACCTAACAGAGTGGAAGCATGCATAAAACTAAAACCGAGTGTTTGACCTGCGAGATTCATGACGAGGAGGTTATATCCCGCCACTAGCGCGATGCAGATCAGCCAGAATCGCTTGCTCCGTGCCATGTGGCTGAATTGAAACAGCGACGATCGCTCGCCATGACCCTGGCCCGCAGCGCCTACTGACCGCCGTCGATTCCGTCTAGATAGCACCATAATTGCGCTACGATGGTCGACGGAACAACGCACTAGAATGACATCAAGCTTATCTTAGAACGACGGACAATTCAACTATTCTCTGGTCCACCCGAGTCTAGACATTTTCTAGGTTGGTTGCTGCGTAGAACACATTTTTTACAACAGTGCACTGCACTGGTCTGCAGACAGAGCGAGCCGAAGATTTGGAGGGCAAATGCGCCGAAGGGAAGAAGCGCGGAGAGGAGGGGGAGGGAGAGCGGAAGGGAGGGCGGGGAGGTGGGATTGGGGGTCACCGCAAGCACACACTCAAATCAAGGCTGGTCAAGGGGGAGTGGGGGTGGGTGGAGGCCGGCGAAGATGGGGGAGCAGTGGGGAAACTGGAGGAACGGGGGGATTTACAGGAACTGTCGTGGAACCTAGAGCGTTTCGTACAGCTGCACTTGCCGTCGATTACAATCATCCGAAATTGTGACTGCCGTAGGATCCTGCTTCTCAGCAATCGACCAGTTCACGGGGGGGTATGGGCGGGGTGGGAAGCAGTTGTGGAGGCTGTGATGGGGGAGGCTTTGCGTGAACCTGTTTCTGATTGGGTGAACATGTGATATCTTACAATTCATAATTAGCCCCTTGTTAGCAACATCTTTCTACAAACGAAGCAGCTCACAAAGAACCTTGCCTGGTGTGCCGTACCATGGGCGTGTCACATCGGACGTTCGACCGAGCTTGTTGGAACAAGAACCGTACTAAACCAAACTAATTAGTTTGTATAACGTACTGTACCAAACTCAACCCCCAGAATTTGGGAGTTCGAACAGCTGGTTACCACCCGATGTGAATTGGTTGATTGGTCATCAGATTTCATCGGCCACACGAAAGAGCGCAGGTGTTCTTCTATTGACACGATTTCCGTCAAGCCGCTGTGGGTGCATGTTCGTCAGTTCCGTCAATCCTGACGTGACTTAGACATCACTACATTTTTCCAGCTTCCTATACAAATATCCGTTTGCCGTATGCGCTGCTTCGTAATGGGAGCGGAGATGAAGCATCCAGCTTAGCAAGCGATAACTGGTATCGTGATTTCGGCTCGGGGCCGTTCACTTTTCTGTGGTCCCCATTGCATGTGCTTTAGCATCCATTCAATACCGAGTCGGCCAGAGCCCCTTTTCACTAACGGCCGGCATCTTTCTCACGAATAACCTCTCTTCCAAGTAGGCCTACTACCACGGTGATACTCTTGTTTACGCGGTAGTGGTTCGGTCTCGGTCCTGGCCGGTTCTTCGCGGTTCCATAGGTTGACGCATGTGCTTCAGCGGCTGGTCGACGCCAGGGGAGCCGGCTGGCGCATCAGAGTCGTATTTTGGGCTAGCGGTTCCTTGCTTGTAGGGCTACGGTTCTGACCGGTTCTTGGCGATTTGAAGGTTCACGTTACATGTGCTTAGACGGCATGTCGCTTCGTCGAACTTTCCAACGATTTGTGCAGAGTGAGTGGCGATTTTGAGTGGTGTGTGATTAGTGTGTGGGTGAGTTGGTGAAAGTGAGTGGTTGGAAGTGAGTATACTACCACGCCTCACCCCCCACGTCGTCCTTCTTTTTTCCTTTTGCAGAGAGGAAACCGTCTGCAGGGACGTATCCCCTTATGAAACCGAGCTGACTTTTGAGTCGACTCAAAAGTCAGCCCTTTTGCAGAAAGAAAACCGTCTGCAGGGACGTATCCCCTGATGAAACCCGTGGGGCCGGACCACACCCCTGCCTCACTAGACCAGTGGATCGAGATCACGCTTGCCCCTACCACAAGTCACCCCGTCCCTCCTCGTCTCCTTCCTCCTTCCCCCATGGCAGAGAAAAAGCCATCCGCAGGGGCGTATCCCCTTATGAAGCCCGTGGGGCCAGACGGGGCCCTGCCACACTACACGCGGGACGAGCTCGCCGCAGCCCCTACCACGACTCACCCCGTCCCTTCTCGTCTTCTTCGCCCTTCCGTCGTCCTTCCCCGTCGTCCTTCTCTTTCCTTTTGCAGAAAAAGAGCCATCTGCAGGGGCGAATCCATTCATGAAGCCCGTGGGGTGGGGCCGGACGGGGCACTGCCTCACTCACTGCATCAGTGGACGAGCTTGACACAGCCCCTACCACGACTCACCCTGTTCCTCCTCCTCGTCTTTGTCTTCTTTCCCTGTCGTCGTCCTTCCATGTGCAGAGAAAAAGCCGTCGCCAGGGGCGTATCCCCTTATCAAGCCTGTGGGGCCAGACGGGGCCCTGTCTTGCCCTTACCACGTCCCACCCCGTCCCTCCTCGTCTTGTTCGTCCTTCCGACATCCTTCCCCGTCGTCGTTCTCTTTCCTTTTGCAGAGAAAAAGCCATAAGCAGGGGCATACCCCCTTACGAAGCCCGTGGGGCCAGACGGGGCCCTGCCACACTATACGTGGAAAGAGAGTTGACGCAGCTCCTGCTACCACACCTCACCCTGTTCTTCCCTGTCGTCGTCCTTCCTCATCCCCCATGGCATGGCAGAGAAAAAGCCATCAGCAGGGGCATACCCCCTTTTGAAGCCCGTGGGGCGGGACGGGGCCCTGCCACACCGCACGCGGGAAGAGCTTGCCGCTGCTCTCACCACTACTCTCCTCGTCCGTCCTTGTATTCTCAGTCCTTTTGTCATCCTTCCCCGTCGTCCTTCTTTTTCCTTTGGCAGAGAAGAAGCCGTCCGCCGGGGCGTATCCGCTTATGAAGCCCGTGGGGCCAGACGGGGCCCTGCCACACTACACGCGGGAAGAGCTTACCGCAGTTACAAGCAACTGGACGCAGAAAATCGGCGAAGGGGGCTTCGGGACTGTCTATAAAGGGTACCTACGGAGTGACAGTAGTAGCCGCGTTGGCAGCATCAGCAGCAGCAGCAGCAATGGGAAGAGTGGCAGCGGTGGGAATAGTGGGGTTGCTGGTGGTGGCGGGGAGGGGGGAGGGGGGGGAGAGGGAGGGGAGGTGCTGGTGCCTGTGGCTGTGAAGATGTGTACGAGTGGGATCAAAGACAGCGGCAGGGAGCAGCTCATGGTGAGTGCAGTGCAGTGATGAGCGGTGGTAAGCGGTGGGGTGTGGGGCGGTTGGAGCAAGGGGAGAGCAGGGAGAGGGAGGGGAGGTGCTGGTGCCAGTGGCTGTGAAGATGTGTACGAGTGGGATCAAAGACAGCGGCAGGGAGCAGCTCATGGTGAGTTGTGTGCTGTGCTGAGTGGTGGTGAACGCTGTGGTGGGGTGCGGTGAGGTAATCATGGATGTGAGAGTAGCGGGAGCGCTGGTGGTGGGGGGGGGAAGGGTTCTGGTTCCAGTGTACGAGTGGGATTAAGGACCCTGGAACGAGTGGACAGTGGCAGGGAGCAGCTAATGGCGAGTGCAGTGCAGCAGTGCAGCAGTGCAGCAGTGCAGCACCCGTACATCTTCAGGTTGCTGGGGGTGGCCACTCAAGCCAGCTTCAGAGGGCGACTCAACCCCCCACCCCACCCCATCCCTTCCCGCCGCTTCCCATCCCTTCCCACAGACGGAGGTGATGGTGATGACAGCGGTGCAGCATCCGTATATCCTGAGGCTGCTGGGGGTGGCTACTCGATCCTGCTTTAGGGGTTGACTCAAACCCCACTTCACCCCAAACCACCGCACCACATCCCTTCCCATTCTTTCCCATCTCTCAGACGGAGGTGATGGTGATGACGGCGGTGCAGCATCCGTACATCCTCAGGCTGCTGGGGGTGGCCACGCTGGGAGAGACGCTCGCCATGGTTTCGGAGTTTGTGCCCAACGGGGATGTCGACCTGCTGCTGGAGAGAGGTGAGTGTAGCAAGAGGTGTGTGTACGGAGAGGTGAGCGTAGGGAGAGGTGAGTGTAACACCATGCATATATGCATGGACGTGCTTTTGAGAATTCTCAAAATGGACGTGCTGTGGGGAGAGACGCTCGCCATGGTGTCGGAGTTTGTGCCCAACGGGGATGTCGACCTGCTGCTGGGGAGAGGTGGGCAAAGCACTATGCGCGTGGAGGAGGGGGTGTAGGTGTGACACATGCGAGCTTATGAGGCCTCTTCAAAGACACATGCGAGCTCAGCTCTAGGAGAGAGAATGTGGATTTTGTTGTGCCCAACGGGGATGTGGACCTGCTGCTGGAGAGAGGTGGGCATAGTGAAAGAGGTTAGAAAAGCAGTGTGCGCTGAAGGTGCATCACATGTGAGCGCTGGGAGAAAGAGACGCTCGCCATGGTGTCAGAGTTTGTGCCCAACGGAGATGTGGACACTGTCCACTGTCCACTGCCCAACGGGGATGTGGACTTGCCCAACGGGGATGTGGACAGTGGACTTGCCTTTCGACCCTCCCTTCCTCTCTGCCAACTCTGCCCTCCCTTCCCTTCCCCTCCACCTGCAGTGCGCAACAGGACGGATTCCTTTGACTGGGCGGCCAGGATGGTGCTGGCGGAGCAGGTGGGGGAGGCGCTGGTGGCCAGACTGCTGCTGGCGGAGCAGGAGAACTGAAGCTGGACCACTCGCCCTTTGCTCTGTCTCTCTCCCCCACCCCCCACGCGCCCGCCCTGTCTCGACCACTCGCCCTTTGCTCCCTCTCCCACACGCCCGCCCTGTCTCTCTCCCCCACCCCCCTGACCTGCAGCGTGCAACAGGACGGACGGACTCGTTTGACTGGACGGCCAGGATGGTGCTGGCGGAGCAGAGCAGGCACGGGCAGGTGGGGAAGCACGTGAACTCAAGCTGAACCATTTCCTTCGCTCCCTCTTCCCAACCACCTGTGCCTGCAGTGCGCAACAGGACAGACTCGTTTGACTGGACGGCTAGGATGGTGCTGGCGGAGCAGGTGGGGGAGGCGCTGGTGTTCATTCACAGCAAGGGGTACATTCACCGCGACTTCAAGGCTGCTAATGTGTTACTGGGAGAGGTGAGTGAACCTGTGGTGGTGAAGTGCGGTGGAGTGTGGTGGAAGTGGATTGAAGGATCAGTGGTGCTGATGCAGGTGGGGGAGGCACTGGTGTTTATCCACAGCAAGGGGTACATCCACCGGGACTTCAAGGCTGCTAATGTGTTACTGGGAGAAGTGAGTGAACCTGTGGTGGTGAATTGTGGTGGAGTGTGGTGGAGTGTGGTGGAAGTGGATTGAAGGATCAGGGGTGCTGATGCAGGTGGGGGAGGCGCTGGTGTTCATTCACAGCAAGGGGTACATTCACCGTGACTTCAAGGCTGCTAATGTGTTACTGGGAGAGGTATGTCTAGCAGTGTGAATGTAGGGCATGAATGTAGTGGCAACGAGCATGTTCAGGAGGCGCTGGTGGTTCATTCACTTCACAGCAAGGGGTACATTCACCGCGACTTCAAGGCCACTACTAACGTGCTGCTGGCAGAGGTGCGTGTGGCGCTGCAGAGCTGGCGTGGGTATGGCCATGGAGCTCTAGTGATCGATCATGGGTTTTGGGGCGCCTTAGCGTGCTCGCCTGCTTTAGGGTTCAGCGTGCTCACAGCCCTGCACTGTTCTATCTGCCAGCACATCCCTGCCCCCCTGCTGCCCTCCCTGCTCGCCCCTCCCTGCCCCCCTGCCTTGCCAGGGCATGGTGCCAAAGGTGGCGGATTTCGGGATGGCAAGGTTGATAGACGACTGGAAGACACATGTCACGACGCGAGTGGGCGGCTCTCAGGGCTACATCGACCCCAACTACTTCTCCACTGGTGCGTGCTGCCAGCTGTGTCGGCGTTTTGTGGCGCCTCTCGAAGGACTTTGAGGCGCCTTGAAAGGCTTTTGACGCTCTTCAAGAGGACTTTTGAGGATCTTCGAGAGGAATTTCGAGGCTCTTTGAGAGGAATTTTGAGGCTTTCCGAGAGGAATTTTGAGGCTCTTCGAGAGGAATTTTGAGGCTCTTCGAGAGGAATTTTGAGGCTCTTCGAGAGGAATTTTGAGGCTCTTTGAGAGGAATTTTGAGGCTCTTCGAGAGGAATTTTGAGGCTCTTCGAGAGGAATTTTGAGGCTCTTCGAGAGGAATTTTGAGGCTCTTCGAGAGGAATTTTGTGGCTCTTCGAGAGGAATTTTGAGGCTCTTCGAGAGGAATTTTGAGGCGATCCACAAGGCCTTTCAGGGGCATCCACCCAAGTACTCCGCTGGTGTGTTTATTGATCGATCCTGACTCTTGTCACAACGTCGGAAAGTACCCACAAGGTTGGGAACTTTTTCTTGAGGCGCCTTGATAACTCGTGGCACGAGGGAACTAACTTTCTCAATATGGCTGCTGTCGCTGTGCAGCATTCTCTTGCTCATCTACCACTCAGGTGGCTCACAAATGGCTGGCAACAATATCTCCCTATTACCTTTCCCTTATCCCAATGTCTCCCCCCTCCCTTCTATAATCCCAGGGTTTCTCACCAACCATTGTGATACGTATGCATTTGGTATCTTCCTTCTAGAGCTCATGTCGGGCGAATGTGCGGAGGAGAACGGCTTTAAGGCGATAAGAGTGGCAGCAGAAGAGCGCTTAATACCTCTAGAGAAGCTTAAGAGGGTGGTGATGGACAAATCCATTGCCGGGCAATGGTCCGAGGAGCATGTAAGGTCGGTGCTAAAGATTTTCCGGTTGGCGGTGTGCACCGATTGGCCGACTCGGCCGAAAATGGAACAGTTGGTGGGGAAGCTGAAAAAAGCGAGGGAAACTGCAGCTGGATCTAAAGATTTGCAACATTAGCTTGCCAGCCATCAGATTTTTATTGCTTTCTCTCATGAGGCTGTATAGAATATTGACTTGCAATGCAATACTCTCGTCCTGGGAGTGTGCAAAACTTGTAGATTAGCTACGCGCCCGTGGAGCGTCACTTAGCGGGTATCTCACCATCAAGCGAATGTGGCTCGCCTTGTTTGAAGAGACGCGCACGTTCAGAGTTTGGCCTACAGTAAAATCCGAAAACGGGCAGGTCGGCAGAGAGATTATTAAATTTTTATGGTGTGAAACTTGTAACATCCAGCGCCTGATCAATGTTTTTGGACTGTCACCGCTCTGAACCGTAGGATAACTCACTCAGACAAAGAATACTGGGCTCAACCTCTCTCAAAGTCGGACTTCTGCTGCCGTCGGTGCTGAATAGAAAGGGTGGCTTTGTCCTTGGGGTGGGGAGAGTTTAGAGAGCCACATATTTCAGAGTGACAATTAGTCATCTGGTAATCAATTCCTCCCTTCATAGCTTTCCGCGCCGGGCCTAGCGCGCTCGTATCGCGCGGCGAGTGCAGAAGCTGGTTCGAATTACATTCTACATCACAGCTTCTGAGTCGCTTCGAAACCACATTTCTCAGAAGCACGCTCCATAAGCTTCAGTCCCGACTGACAGAAACGACCCGGGCCGCTTCCGGTGGTAGATTTTAATTTATCTCAAAAGCGACTCAAACCTCGCTCGGGTTGCTGTGGAGTGTTTTGGCGCCATGAAGTCTTTCGGCAAGATGATGAAGAGCATTGGCGTCAGCAAGAAAAGTGCGTGTACCCGGAATTATTTGTTATAATCATGCTACAATTTTCAACTCGTTGTGCTAATATCTTATTCTTATAACTTTTATTTTCAATGTCCTTCTGAGTCAGTGTAGTTCATACTGAAGCTGATCGGGATGATATGCGATAGCGCAACATCATATCGCAATGCCAAGCGCTGCGCATCTCATCTCCCGCCTTTCTCCCTTCCGCCGCTCTACATTTGCCCCTACCGCACCTAACCACGCTGCTCGTTTACCCTGTTGCCTCCTCACACACATTACGCCCCAACTACCCTCTTCCGCTCCCCCTTTCCCCCTACTCCCCCTTCCCTTCCGCCCACTTACTGCGCCACGCGCGCAGAGGAGAAGGGCTCCGCAATCCACCGGGCCTTAAAGCCCCTGGGGAAGGGGGGGTGGGTGGGGGGGGGGACGGCACCTAACCACATTTGCCCCCACGCCCACTTCCCCCCGTCCACGCTACCCCTCCCACTTTCCCCCGCTCCCACTTCCCCTTGCCCCCACTTCCCCCCGCCCCCACGCTACCCCCGCCCCCACTTCCCCTTCGCTTAGGGGAGAAGCCAGCCGCGCCCCACCCGGACTTAAAGCCCCTGGGGGGGGACGGAGCACCCCCCATGTACACAAAAGAGGAGCTGAGCGCTGCAACCAACAACTTCAAGCAGAAGCTCGGCGAGGGGGGGTTCGGTGCGGTGTACAAGGGGTACCTCAAGGTGGAGGGCGGTGCGGAGGCAGCTGAGTCACTGGGGGTGGATTTGAGCGCGGTTACTGACGGGGAGATCCCTGTAGCCGTTAAGATGTGCGCTGCTAAGGTTCTGAGCGCACGGGAGCAGCTCATGGTGAGATGAAAGCTGGCAGGCATGGCCCGTGGGGCGATGATGCATTGGCAATTGGTGGGATGGGGAGATCCCTGTAGCCGTTAAGATGTGCGCTGCTAAGGTTCTGAGCGCGCGCGAGCAGCTCATGGTGGGTGGTTGAGCTGCTGGGAGTGTTGAGGAGGAAATTGATGGTGATGGTGATGGTGATGGTCATGGTCATGGTGATGGTGATAGGGAAGCTCCTTCACCCCAACAGCTTGCTCTTGCTGGGGGCAGGTGTCAATCCCTGGTGCTGCACCTCGTAACTTGCTGGGGCAGGTGTCCTCCCAGGGCGTTTCAACTTCCGCCTAGCGACTTGCCCCTTGCTGCACCTGCACCTTCCAATCCACCCACCACTCCCCTTCCCCCATCCATCCAATCAGACGGAGATGATGGTGATGGGCAAGCTGCGGCACCCCAACATCCTGCGCCTGCTGGGGGGAGTTCCATGCCAGTGCACCGTGCTTTTTTCAAACAACACCACACACTCGTCCCTTGCCCTCCTCCCCACCACCCTCCCTCTCCTCCGCCCCAATTCAGACGGAGATGATGGTGATGGGCAAGCTGCGCCACCCCAACATCCTGCGCCTGCTGGGCGCGTGCATATCAGACGACAGCATGGCCATGATCTACGAGTTCATCCCCTGTGGGGACGTGCATGAGCTGCTGGAAGATGGTACGTGTCTGCGTGGGGTTGCGCATGCTCTGTGTGTGGCTGTGCTGTGCTGTTGGAAGGAAGAGCCACACAGCCTGCTGGGGGCCTCAGGAGCATATCAGACGACAGCATGGCCATGATCTACGAGTTCATCCCCTGTGGGGACGTGCATGAGCTGCTGGAAGATGGTACGTGTCTGCGTGGGGTTGCGCATGCTCTGTGTGTGGCTGTGCTGTGCTGTTGGAAGGAAGAGCCACACAGCCTGCTGGGGGCCTCAGGAGCATATCAGACGACAGCATGGCCATGATCTACGAGTTCATCCCCTGTGGGGACGTGCATGACCTGCTGGAAGATGGTACGTGTCTGCGTGGGGTTGCGCATGCTCTGTGTGTGGCTGTGCTGTGCTGTTGGAAGGAAGAGCCACACAGCCTGCTGGGGGCCTCAGGAGCATATCAGACGACAGCATGGCCATGATCTACGAGTTCATCCCCTGTGGGGACGTGCATGACCTGCTGGAAGATGGTATTTACATGGAGGGAGGTGAGAGGCTGGAGGGAGGGTGAGTGTACAAGGCTGTGCGTGTGTGCTTGCTTGTGGTTGGGCTGTTTGAAGAGGCTCAGAGCAAACTCTTCCGGGCGTCTGCGTGTCAGACGGTAACATGGCCATGTCAGGACATGGAGATCTCCAAGTGCACCCTGAGTGAGTCACCTCAAAAGTCACCCTGACCAAACTCCTCCTTTGAGTGAGGAGGTGACTTCTGAGTTTTGACTTTTGAGCAAGCCCTCAAACTCCTCAAAAGAGGCTCAGAGCAAACCCTTCCGGGCGCCTGCATTTCAGACGGTAACATGGCCATGATCTCGTCTGAACTCAGGCCTGATAACATGATCTCTCCCTGAGTGAGTGAGGAGAGGAGGGAGAGAGGACGTGCATGAGTTGCGGGAGAGAGGTGACTTGGGGGAGAGAGGTGACTTGCGGGAGAGAGGTGACTTGCGGGAGAGAGGTAGGTTTCTCTGTGTGCCTTTGTGCCCTCATTCCCCTCTGCCTCCCCCACTCCCCTCCCCCACTCATTTCCCCTTCCCCCTCGCAGCACGTGAGGACAAGGAGGAACGAATGAGCAATCTCGCTTGCCCGCACATTCCTTCTCTTCTCGCTTCACTCGCACCTCCCCTAATCTTCTTCCCCTAGCAGCGCGTGCGGGCAAGGAGGAGTTTAAGTTTGCGGACCGGATGAAGGTGGCCATGGGGTGTGCAGAGGCGCTGACGCCCATCCACAGCAAACAGCCCTTCTAAGCCGCATGCCTCCCCTTCTCACCGCGTTCCCCCCTCCTTTACGCATCTTCCGTCCTCCCACACAGCGCGTGCGGGCAAGGAGGAGTTCAAGTTTGCGGACCGGATGAAGGTGGCCATGGGGTGTGCGGAGGCCTTGGCATTTATCCATGGGCAGGAGTATGTGCATCGTGACTTCAAGGCTCCTAACGTGCTGCTGGCTGAGGTGAGGGCGGGTGTACCGTATAGCACCGCAAAGCACTGCACAGCACCGCACGGGTGTGCTGAGGCCTTGGCATTTATCCATGGACAGGAGTACGTGCATTGTGACTTCAAGGCTCCTAATGTGCTGCTGGCTGAGGTGAGGGCGGGTGTACCGCAAAGCACTGCACATCACCGCAGGGGTGTGCGGAGGCCTTGGTATTTATCCATGGACAGGAGTACGTGCATCGTGACTTCAAGGCTCCTAACGTGCTGCTGGCCGAGGTGAGGAGGGAGGGAGGCAGGCAGGAGCACCGTATAGCACCTTACAGCACCTTACAGCACCGTACAGCACCTTAAGCACCTTACAGCACCGTACAGCACCTTAAGCACCTTACAGCACCTTACAGCACCTTACAGCACCTTACAGCACCTTACAGCACCGTACAGCACCTTAAGCACCTTACAGCACCTTACAGCACCGTACAGCACCTTAAGCACCTTACAGCACCTTAAGCACCTTACAGCACCTTACAGCACCGTACAGCACCTTAAGCACCTTACAGCACCTTACAGCACCTTACAGCACCGTACAGCACCTTAAGCACCTTACAGCACCTTACAGCACCGTACAGCACCTTAAGCACCTTACAGCACCTTACAGCACCTTACAGCACCTTACAGCACCTTACAGCACCTTACAGCACCTTACAGCACCTTACAGCACCTTACAGCACCTTACAGCACCTTACAGCACCTTACAGCACCTTACAGCACCTTACAGCACCTTACAGCACCGTACAGCACCTTAAGCACCTTACAGCACCTTACAGTAGGTAAGAACATTGGCGTTCATTCATTCACGGGCAGGAGTATGTTCACCGTGACTTCAAGGCGCCTGATGTTCTGTTGGCAGAGGTGAGCAGCACCATACTGCACCGCAGGGTACCGTAAAGCACCGCAGAGCACCATAGGCGTGGAGCTCTGGCGTTCATCCACGGGCAGCGGTAGGTGCACTGCACTGTGGCTTCAAGGCCCCGAACGTGCTGCTGGCCGAGGTGAGGGCGGGTGTACCGCATAGCACCGCAAAGCACTGCACAGCACCGCAGGGGTGTGCGGAGACCGTGGCATTCATCCACAGGCAGCGGTAGGTGCACTGCACTGTGGCTTCAAGGCCCCGAACGTGCTGCTGGCCGAGGTGAGGGCGGGGTAAGCAAGCAAGGGACTTTGTGTGACAAACAGACAGGCCATACCAAGATCATACCATGATCATACCATGATCATACCATGATCATACCATGATCATACCATGATCATACCATGATCATACCAAGATCATACCATGATCATACCATGATCATACCATGATCATACCATGATCATACCAAGATCATACCATGATCATACCAAGATCATACCATGATCATACCATGATCATACCATGATCATACCATGATCATACCATGATCATACCATGATCATACCATGATCATACCATGATCATACCATGATCATACCATGATCATACCATGATCATACCATGATCATACCATGATCATACCATGATCATACCAAGATCATACCATGATCATACCATGATCATACCAAGATCATACCATGATCATACCATGATCATACCATGATCATACCATGATCATACCATGATCATACCATGATCATACCATGATCATACCAAGATCATACCATGATCATACCATGATCATACCAAGATCATACCATGATCATACCATGATCATACCAAGATCATACCATGATCATACCATGATCATACCATGATCATACCATGATCATACCATGATCATACCATGATCATACCATGATCATACCATGATCATACCATGATCATACCATGATCATACCATGATCATACCATGATCATACCATGATCATACCATGATCATACCATGATCATACCATGATCATACCATGATCATACCAAGATCATACCATGATCATACCATGATCATACCAAGATCATACCATGATCATACCATGATCATACCATGATCATACCATGATCATACCATGATCATACCATGATCATACCATGATCATACCATGATCATACCATGATCATACCATGATCATACCAAGATCATACCATGATCATACCATGATCATACCATGATCATACCAAGATCATACCATGATCATACCATGATCATACCATGATCATACCATGATCATACCAAGATCATACCATGATCATACCATGATCATACCATGATCATACCAAGATCATACCATGATCATACCAAGATCATACCATGATCATACCATGATCATACCAAGATCATACCATGATCATACCATGATCATACCATGATCATACCATGATCATACCAAGATCATACCATGATCATACCATGATCATACCAAGATCATACCATGATCATACCATGATCATACCATGATCATACCATGATCATACCATGATCATACCAAGATCATACCATGATCATACCATGATCATACCATGATCATACCATGATCATACCATGATCATACCATGATCATACCATGATCATACCATGATCATACCATGATCATACCATGATCATACCATGATCATACCATGATCATACCATGATCATACCATGATCATACCATGATCATACCATGATCATACCATGATCATACCATGATCATACCATGATCATACCATGATCATACCAAGATCATACCATGATCATACCATGATCATACCAAGATCATACCATGATCATACCATGATCATACCATGATCATACCATGATCATACCATGATCATACCATGATCATACCATGATCATACCAAGATCATACCATGATCATACCAAGATCATACCATGATCATACCATGATCATACCATGATCATACCAAGATCATACCATGATCATACCATGATCATACCATGATCATACCATGATCATACCATGATCATACCATGATCATACCATGATCATACCATGATCATACCATGATCATACCATGATCATACCATGATCATACCATGATCATACCATGATCATACCATGATCATACCATGATCATACCAAGATCATACCATGATCATACCATGATCATACCAAGATCATACCATGATCATACCATGATCATACCATGATCATACCATGATCATACCATGATCATACCATGATCATACCATGATCATACCATGATCATACCATGATCATACCATGATCATACCATGATCATACCATGATCATACCAAGATCATACCATGATCATACCATGATCATACCATGATCATACCATGATCATACCATGATCATACCATGATCATACCATGATCATACCATGATCATACCAAGATCATACCATGATCATACCATGATCATACCATGATCATACCAAGATCATACCATGATCATACCAAGATCATACCATGATCATACCATGATCATACCAAGATCATACCATGATCATACCATGATCATACCATGATCATACCATGATCATACCATGATCATACCAAGATCATACCATGATCATACCATGATCATACCATGATCATACCATGATCATACCATGATCATACCAAGATCATACCATGATCATACCATGATCATACCATGATCATACCATGATCATACCAAGATCATACCATGATCATACCATGATCATACCATGATCATACCATGATCATACCATGATCATACCAAGATCATACCATGATCATACCATGATCATACCAAGATCATACCATGATCATACCATGATCATACCATGATCATACCATGATCATACCATGATCATACCATGATCATACCATGATCATACCATGATCATGGTATGATCATACCATGATCATACCAAGATCATACCATGATCATACCATGATCATACCATGATCATACCATGATCATACCATGATCATACCATGATCATACCATGATCATACCATGATCATACCATGATCATACCATGATCATACCATGATCATACCATGATCATACCATGATCATACCATGATCATACCATGATCATACCATGATCATACCAAGATCATACCATGATCATACCAAGATCATACCATGATCATACCATGATCATACCAAGATCATACCATGATCATACCATGATCATACCATGATCATACCATGATCATACCATGATCATACCATGATCATACCATGATCATACCATGATCATACCATGATCATACCATGATCATACCATGATCATACCATGATCATACCATGATCATACCATGATCATACCATGATCATACCATGATCATACCATGATCATACCAAGATCATACCATGATCATACCATGATCATACCATGATCATACCATGATCATACCATGATCATACCATGATCATACCATGATCATACCAAGATCATACCATGATCATACCAAGATCATACCATGATCATACCAAGATCATACCATGATCATACCAAGATCATACCATGATCATACCATGATCATACCAAGATCATACCATGATCATACCATGATCATACCATGATCATACCATGATCATACCATGATCATACCATGATCATACCAAGATCATACCATGATCATACCATGATCATACCAAGATCATACCATGATCATGGTATGATCATACCATGATCATACCATGATCATACCATGATCATACCATGATCATACCATGATCATACCATGATCATACCATGATCATACCATGATCATACCATGATCATACCATGATCATACCATGATCATACCATGATCATACCATGATCATACCATGATCATACCATGATCATACCATGATCATACCAAGATCATACCATGATCATACCATGATCATACCATGATCATACCATGATCATACCATGATCATACCATGATCATACCAAGATCATACCATGATCATACCATGATCATACCATGATCATACCAAGATCATACCATGATCATACCAAGATCATACCATGATCATACCAAGATCATACCATGATCATACCAAGATCATACCATGATCATACCAAGATCATACCATGATCATACCATGATCATACCAAGATCATACCATGATCATACCATGATCATACCAAGATCATACCATGATCATACCATGATCATACCATGATCATACCATGATCATACCAAGATCATACCATGATCATACCATGATCATACCATGATCATACCAAGATCATACCATGATCATACCATGATCATACCATGATCATACCATGATCATACCAAGATCATACCATGATCATACCATGATCATACCAAGATCATACCATGATCATACCAAGATCATACCATGATCATACCATGATCATACCATGATCATACCAAGATCATACCATGATCATACCAAGATCATACCATGATCATACCATGATCATACCATGATCATACCATGATCATACCATGATCATACCAAGATCATACCATGATCATACCATGATCATACCAAGATCATACCATGATCATACCATGATCATACCATGATCATACCAAGATCATACCATGATCATACCAAGATCATACCATGATCATACCATGATCATACCATGATCATACCAAGATCATACCATGATCATACCATGATCATACCATGATCATACCAAGATCATACCATGATCATACCATGATCATACCATGATCATACCATGATCATACCATGATCATACCAAGATCATACCATGATCATACCATGATCATACCAAGATCATACCATGATCATACCATGATCATACCATGATCATACCATGATCATACCATGATCATACCATGATCATACCAAGATCATACCATGATCATACCATGATCATACCAAGATCATACCATGATCATACCATGATCATACCATGATCATACCATGATCATACCATGATCATACCATGATCATACCAAGATCATACCATGATCATACCATGATCATACCAAGATCATACCATGATCATACCATGATCATACCATGATCATACCATGATCATACCAAGATCATACCATGATCATACCAAGATCATACCATGATCATACCATGATCATACCATGATCATACCATGATCATACCATGATCATACCATGATCATACCAAGATCATACCATGATCATACCAAGATCATACCATGATCATACCATGATCATACCATGATCATACCATGATCATACCATGATCATACCATGATCATACCAAGATCATACCATGATCATACCATGATCATACCATGATCATACCATGATCATACCAAGATCATACCATGATCATACCATGATCATACCATGATCATACCATGATCATACCATGATCATACCATGATCATACCATGATCATACCATGATCATACCATGATCATACCATGATCATACCATGATCATACCATGATCATACCAAGATCATACCATGATCATACCAAGATCATACCATGATCATACCATGATCATACCATGATCATACCAAGATCATACCATGATCATACCAAGATCATACCATGATCATACCATGATCATACCAAGATCATACCATGATCATACCATGATCATACCATGATCATACCATGATCAAACCATGATCAAACCATGATGAAACCATAATCAAACCATGATCATACCAAGATCAAACCATGCTCACACCATGCTACACCATGATCATACCTTGGTCGCTTTTTGAGCTGACTCAGTGACAGGGCTTGTGAAAATGGCACCAGGCCATACCAAGATCCTACCCTTGTCCCTTGTCTCTCCTTCCTCTCACCCCTCCCTCTCTCTCCCCTCCTCTTCCCTCCTTTCCCTCCCCACCTGCCCTCTCCTCTCCCCCCCAGGGCCTGTCCCTGCGGGTGGCTGACTTTGGGCTGGCGAGGATAGTGGAGAACTGGAAGGACCATGTGACGACCCACCCTCCTGCCCCCCATCCACCTCCTCCCCCTCCCTCCTGCCTCCTTTCCCCTCCTTCCCTTGTACCCCATTTCCTTGTCCTCCCCCCCCTGTCCAGGGCCTGTCCCCTCGAGTGGCTGACTTCGGCCTGGCGAGGATAGTGGAGAACTGGAAGGACAGAGAGACCTGCAATCATCCCCTTCTATCCCTCCCTCTCTGCTCCCTCCTCTCTCCCCCAGGGCCTGTCCCCTCGAGTGGCAGACTTTGGGCTGGCGAGAATAGTGGAGAACTGGAAGGACCATGTGACGACGAGAGTGATGGGGTCACGCGGGTACATCGACCCGGAATACTTTGAGTCAGGTGCGCTGGGAGGGGGGTTTGGGTGAGTGGTTGGTTGAGTGGCTGGCTAGTTGGGGGCACGACTGGTTTGTTAGACCTTGGAGAACTGGAAGGACCATGTGACGACCAGAGTGATGGTGTCACGCGGGTACATCGACCCGGAATACATTGAGTCAGGTGCGCCAGGGGAGGGAGTGCGTCAGGAGAGAGTGCTTAGGAGAGAGTGTGTTGGGAGAGAGTGTGTTGGGAGAGAGTGCGTTAGGAGAGAGAAAGGGAGCACTAGATGAGCCAGGCTGGTGGTTGGTTGGTGAGCCGAGTGTGTGCTGTGACCATGTGACCATGTGACCATGTGACCATGTGACCATGTGACCATGTGACCATGTGACCATGTGACCATGTGACCATGTGACCATGTGACCATGTGACCATGTGACCATGTGACCATGTGACCATGTGACGACCCGAGTGATGGGGTGGCAGGGGCACATCGACCCTGAGTACTTTGAGTCAGGTGTGTTGGGAGTGTGTGATTAGTCGATTTTTGAGTCGACTCAAAATTCGACTTATCACACACATCGACCCGGAATACTTTGAGTCAGGTGTGTTGGGAGTGAGACTCAGGTAAGCTCAGTAGATACTTGGTTCATTTGGTCAGTGGCTGGTCTATCAGGTGTGTGGCTGTGAAACCGACTTTTGAGGCGCCTCAAAAGTCAGCTCAGTAGAAACTTGGTTCATTCGGTCGGTGGCTGGTGTATCAGGTGTGTGGCTGTGAAACCGACTTTTGAGGCGCCTCAAAAGTCAGCTCAGTAGAAACTTGGTTCATTCGGTCGGTGGCTGGTGTATCAGGTGTGTGGCTGTGAAACCGACTTTTGAGGCACCTCAAAAGTCAGCTCAGTAGAAACTTGGTTCATTCGGTCGGTGGCTGGTGTATCAGGTGTGTGGCTGTGAAACCGACTTTTGAGGCGCCTCAAAAGTCAGCTCTGTAGAAACTTGGTTCATTCGGTCGGTGGCTGGTCTATCAGGTGTGTGGCTGTGAAACCGACTTTTGAGGCGCCTCAAAAGTCAGCTCTGTAGAAACTTGGTTCATTCGGTCGGTGGCTGGTCTATCAGGTGTGTGGCTGTGAAACCGACTTTTGAGGCACCTCAAAAGTCAGCTCAGTAGAAACTTGGTTCATTCGATCGGTGGCTGGTGTATCAGGTGTGTGGCTGTGAAACCGACTTTTGAGGCGCCTCAAAAGTCAGCTCAGTAGAAACTTGGTTCATTCGGTCGGTGGCTGGTGTATCAGGTGTGTGGCTGTGAAACCGACTTTTGAGGCGCCTCAAAAGTCAGCTCAGTAGAAACTTGGTTCATTCGGTCGGTGGCTGGTGTATCAGGTGTGTGGCTGTGAAACCGACTTTTGAGGCGCCTCAAAAGTCAGCTCTGTAGAAACTTGGTTCATTCGGTCGGTGGCTGGTGTATCAGGTGTGTGGCTGTGAAACCGACTTTTGAGGCGCCTCAAAAGTCAGCTCTGTAGAAACTTGGTTCATTCGGTCTGTGGCTGGTGTATCAGGTGTGTGGCTGTGAAACCGACTTTTGAGGCGCCTCAAAAGTCAGCTCAGTAGAAACTTGGTTCATTCGGTCGGTGGCTGGTGTATCAGGTGTGTGGCTGTGAAACCGACTTTTGAGGCGCCTCAAAAGTCAGCTCAGTAGAAACTTGGTTCATTCGGTCGGTGGCTGGTGTATCAGGTGTGTGGCTGTGAAACCGACTTTCGAGGCGCCTCAAAAGTCAGCTCAGTAGAAACTTGGTTCATTCGGTCGGTGGCTGGTGTATCAGGTGTGTGGCTGTGAAACCGACTTTTGAGGCGCCTCAAAAGTCAGCTCTGTAGAAACTTGGTTCATTCGGTCGGTGGCTGGTGTATCAGGTGTGTGGCTGTGAAACCGACTTTTGAGGCGCCTCAAAAGTCGGCTCAGTAGAAACTTGGTTCATTCGGTCGGTGGCTGGTGTATCAGGTGTGTGGCTGTGAAACCGACTTTTGAGGCGCCTCAAAAGTCAGCTCAGTAGAAACTTGGTTCATTCGGTCGGTGGCTGGTGTATCAGGTGTGTGGCTGTGAAACCGACTTTTGAGGCGCCTCAAAAGTCAGCTCAGTAGAAACTTGGTTCATTCGGTCGGTGGCTGGTGTATCAGGTGTGTGGGCTGTGAAACCGACTTTTGAGGCGCCTCAAAAGTCAGCTCTGTAGAAACTTGGTTCATTCGGTCGGTGGCTGGTGTATCAGGTGTGTGGCCGTGAAACCGACTTTTGAGGCGCCTCAAAAGGCAGCTCAGTAGAAACTTGGTTCATTCGGTCGGTGGCTGGTGTATCAGGTGTGTGGCTGTGAAACCGACTTTTGAGGCGCCTCAAAAGTCAGCTCAGTAGAAACTTGGTTCATTCGGTCGGTGGCTGGTGTGTCAGTACCGTCCCGCCTCCCCTCTCCCTTCCCTTCGCCACCCCTCCATTTCCTCTCCCTCCCCTCCACAGGCTACCTGAATGAGCACTGTGACACCTTTGCCTTTGGCATCTTTCTCATTGAGCTCGCCACGGGCCACTCAGTCCTGGAGCCCACGTTTGAGCAGGTGGTGAACGGTGCCGTGCGGTCAGATCCGGTGGACCTGGGTGCGGTGATGGACCCGCGCCTGCAGGGGCAGTGGACTGAGGAGCAGGCGAAGGCGCTGCTGGGAGTGGCGAAAGTGTGTGTGACGACGGATTGGGACAACCGGCCGACCATGGATAATGTGGTTGAGATGATGCAGGGGGTGCTGGGATGAGAAAGCAGTTCATGACTGGCTTTTGAGTTGACTTAAGAGGCGCATGCGAAGGCTCGGCTAGGAGTGCAATTTTGTGTGTGATGTGATGACGGACTGGGACAAGTGGCCCATCATGGATTATGTGGATGTAGCAGAGATGATCCATTGGGTGCTGGGATGAAGAGGGCTGTTACCGGTATCTGGAATGATTCACAAGCGCTGCTGAGATGGGGGAAATGTTGTCTAGGAGGATTCAGGGCTGGTGGGACGAGGAGGGTGTCGTCTTGGAGGCGTCATGATGTGGTTGGCGGGATGATGTGTCATGCCTGTAGTGCTGTTTAGAGGGTGGGTGGGATGCATCTTGTAGAGGCAGCTGTATGTGTGTCGCCTGCTTGGAGTTTGGCAATCTCTGTTCTAGTTGCAATTGCTCAATCGAATAGGTCGGGCAAGATATAAGTGCTTCAGCTTGCAGCACATTTGCTGTACTTTTCTATGTGTCTGAAGTTGTAGCGCTCTGCTTCGGGCCTATGACTTGTACTGATATATGAACAAGTAGGATTGCTTGGTATCGAGGGGCTGGCTTGCTGTTAGGCTGATGGACAGGGTTTTGGTTTAGGCTGAGAGGAAAAACTAGTGTAGTTATCTAGCTTTGTAAAATTTTGACGATAATCCCAAGCCCGACGGTGCGATGTGAACTCTGTCACTCACGTCCTTCGGACAGTGCTGATGCAAATCCGCCAGTCTGTCAAGCCGCCTCGGGCTCTGTTCTATGTCATCCTGTCGAGTCGAGCTGTTTCGCAGCTGTATTTGTGTCCTCTTCTACACCCAGATCAGGACATTTTGAAGAGTTCGTTGACCAATGAAATATTCTAAATTGAAGTTTCCAGCAGTTTCGTCGCCGTTCAAGCCTAGCGTTCACATTTACGTGTACGTATCATAATTACACGACACCGCTCCCCTCACGCTCTTACGCCGCACCGCGTCACAACTCCCCCCCCTCCCCTTCCTCCTCCCTCCCCTTGAATCTTGTACAAATCCGCACAATCTCACTCCCCACACCACCACCACCTCACTTGTTCGCTTCCCTTCCCTCAGGCCATTCCTCACCACCACCCTCTCCGTCCCCCATCCACCACACACCCAGAATCTCCAGCAGCCACCCTCGGTACAGGCAGGGAGGCCCCTGGGAGAAGAGTGTTCGTGAGGTTTGATCTGTCCGCAGGTGCCGATAATCGCTAGAACGAAACAGTAATCGCTAGAACAATTATCTCCCGCAAGTCCGTCCTCAAGCCTCCACGAGTTGTTGCGACGCAAGCTTGATGTTACTGAACCTCGTTCTTCTTGGGTGTCCAAAGTGAACGTCTGAGTTATGTCGGTAAATTTCAGCCCTCGGATCAACGATTCCGACCGTCAGGATTCACCGACATCCCTCGACGTCGAGCTTTTGCAGCACTTAGGACACCCCATTACAGTACTGTGCTCCTAGATCCTGGCTGAGTCAACCAGGTGCCAGCCTGAGGTGCTGGCTGGCAGGCTGGCGCTCGCCTGGAAAAGGATGGGAGGACGGGAAGCGGACAAAAGGACTGCCATGCCGCCGAGGCGCGATGAAACAAGCTCCATTTCGAGGGTGCTTCAGCGTCGAGTCCTAAATATGAGCATACCGACTCATCCCTTGCAAACGTCAGCTTTGTGTGATTACTCTCTCAATCGCGTACATTCTCAGCCAGCCGCGATATTTGAGTCGACGCAGAACTCGCGCCTGAGAGAAAACAAATTCTCAGAGAGCCTAGTAATATCCCAGTCAGCGGCGTTTTATCTTTCGCTTTCCATCGAGAGGCTTCAGCGTCAAGCTAGTAGAATCGCTGTTGATTCGTGACAGACGGAACAGGCTAGCATTGTCACATATTCAAGGGAAGTTTCTGAGTCGGCCCGCTTTCAGAGCTCGAGCTTACCTACAGAGACTAAAGTCTTTAAGATGGCGTTGCGCGGCGCCGTATACTCTCCACGGATCTGCGGCGGGACACTCAGCTTCGCGATTACCATACTCGTTATACACTCACTCCATTCCATCGTCGCCGGATCGAATCTCCCTCCCGGCGGCTGCGACGCGTGCCGTCAGCTGCGCGGGCTGGAAGACGCGGGGGTGAACGCGCGCAGCCTGCACCGGCACGTGGCGCTCGTCGGCAACTTCAAGGGGCTCTTCCTCAGCCAGCGCGGCAAGTTCAAGAACCACGCCAGAGGATCCGGCCCCGTCAATCTCGAGGTTTTCCAGGTGCGTTTAGCATTTATTCACAGCGAATTCTATAGTGGAGGCGTGACGATTCGCGCTGTATCCCTGCGACAGCTTCAAGCTTTCAGCGACCGACGTTTGGAGCCAGACCGAAGCTTCAGTGGTTGTGTACATGGCTCAGGGTTTTTTCTGTGTGTATACGTGGTTCGCTTGTTCAGGAAGTTGGTAACCACGTGGCTGTCGTCGACGGCGAAGCTGGCGACACTCTTGAAAAGTGCTGCGCTGCATGCAAGCGAACAGCCGGCTGCTACCAATACCACTTCTTTCGCAGGTGAGCTTCGATCTTGAATGCTCGTTCAGCATCCGATGCGTGCAGCATTGCGGGTTCACGTTCACTTCCTCTCCTGCTCGCCAGATTGCTTCAAAAAAAAAAATCTTTCGCGTCTTTCAGCGCTTTTCTCAACCGCTGTTTTCCCAAATCTTCCTTACAACAACAGGCTTTCTAGACGTCTCATCTTTTGCACTTTCCTACACTTCTTTTCCTGATTCTTCCCGTTTCAGTAACCGGCTACGCGACAATGTGAACGTCCGCGGCTTCATGAGCGGCGTGCAGTGCTACCTGCTCGCGAAAGACGGCGGCGCGGGTCACTCTGGCGAGTACCGAACGCCTCTTAGCGGGGATGTCAACGAGCAGCGCGCCATGTCGCCATACTTCCCGCTCAGCTGGCTCGGTGGGCTCTGCGACGAAAACCGCGCCTTAGAAACGCCTGGTAATCGTTCTGCCAGCGCTCAACCACTTGCCACGTCATCTCGGAGCGACCAACAAGGACTGGCGAAAACGCTTGGAAAGCAAGCACAGGCGGCGTCTGCCGTGCTTCGGCGGAGGGCAGAGCGACCACCGCCGCTGTCCTCGCAAGGCCTGCTCAACGCGTCTTTCTGCCTCGTTTCTGACCGTAGACTGCACATCAACATCAGGCTCCGCGAATCGCCACCGCAGGTTGCAGCCGGTGACCTGGCGGAGGCGTCCGGTGACGTGGCATATGCTGCAGCCCCTACATCCAACCCTGCCTTCGGCCAGATGTCAACCGCAGCTGCTGCCGATGCCGCTGCTGCCGCCAGGAAGGAAGCTGAAAAGAGAGCAACTGCGGCTGTTGTGAGGGCTGCTCTTGCAAGCACCAGCAATGAAGTGAGTGATATGGTGGAAGGAGGCGAGGGTGAGCGGGAGGGAGCACAGGCAGCTATCAGGGAGATTGGGTTTGTGTGGGTGGCTGATGGGCTGCACTCCCTTCGCATGGCCGTAACACCCACGGTAACCGCTGAAAACAGCGGCAGCAATACTTTGTTGTCCCTTCTGGAGCTGGATGGCGTGCCGTTGCCGCCCCCAAAAGCAGTGGGCGATCGGGTGACTGGATCAGGAGGGCTGGTACTTAGCAAAGTGGCAGATGAGAGAGAGTGGCCTGTGAACATGGTGAAGTATAGAGTTGAGATCGAGGGATTGATGGTGGTGGAGGTGCGAGCGAGCATCGTGCGAGGAGAAGGGGATGCAGGTGAGGGGCACCTGTCTGTGAAGCTGATGAAGGTGAAGGTTTCTCCAACCGTCAATGGACTTCTGGGTAGCGCAATACGGGCATCGTCTAAGCTGGAACTGACCGTGACACCATTTTACACATCCTTGAACATTGAAGACCGCAATTCCGAGACGACTCTTAGTGGGCCTCTTGCCGACTACGTCTCTACGACAGCAATTTCTGCCGATTGCAGATTCTCTACATTTGGAGTGGTTGCCTAAAGGTCACTCTGAAGTGCTAGGTGGAACACATTCGTTTATTATTTTAGGTATATACATCTCTTATGTGACTCTATAATAAGTCAATTGAGGAACCTTCAATCCATCTACATCATGTTTATATCCAATAGCAAGTCATGGTTGAAATGCGTGAGTTGCGACAGGCGAAGCACGAAAACATGCTCTGGTCATTAAATTGTTACAGAATAGCTTTGCGAAAACCGTAGTTTCTTCTTGTATTGCACAAGGATTGGACGAAACTAGTATCCATCGTTCGCCAGCTCCTCACAGCCGCAGGCGAACGCGCTTCCCCCTTCACATGGGCCTTTGAGCTCCCAAGGGATTCAGGGCTCTCTCGAGGGAAGCATGCCAGCGGAGAGATTTTACGGCAAGAATGCAGTGGTTCCCCATTTCCCCCTCCGCACCATATGCCTCTGACAGTGTCAGGGAAGCAGCAGTGTCGTCAGGAGAGCCCAAGGTTCACTAGCCTGTAGCTTCTGCAGCTGTTTCTCTCGTTGCGATCAACTGCTGCGCTGCCAGATATGGCCCTTGCGGCTCGTTTGTCGTCCTCCAACATCGTATCTGTTCCCGCTACACTCCCATCCGCTGCCAGATCAGCTGGATCAGCGCGTTCCGCGAATCTTCTCGCATCCTCGCGCGCTGATTGGTCGCACGGTCTTAGCCTGCGATCGCTGTCGTCTGTCGCCGTTAACGTGTCGAGAAGTCGAAGCAGCGTCAGCACGATCAAGTGCATGGCGGAGGCATCGCAAACTACTGGTTAGCGCTTTCTAGTGTATAATGCGAGATGTTTATAAGTTCACAACTTTGCAGATTTCGCTTTAGTAGAAGCGAATGCTCAAGTCGTGGCTGCATTGCGGGAGGACATAGAATCAGGGTTACCAAGGAATATTGGGTTACGAAGAGTTAGGGTTAAACGCAGCACGAGATTGTAACGCACGCCGCGCGAATAATTCACATTGCTATCGTGGCGTGACTGCATTGATGCCGTACCATGAACGAATGTGGGGCTACGTGGTTACATGGCCATTTGACTCTTAATATCTCTCACCCCTTCGTCCACCCTTCCTTCTCCCCCACCCCTCTCCCATCCCCCTCCCCCCTTCCCCGCCTCCCCCTCACCCAATCATTTTCCTGCCTTCCGTGCCAGCAGCTGCCGCGGTCTCGTCGCCAGCCACTGGCCTTCGCGTGTTCCGGCTCGCTGACCTGGCGGAGGATGACGTGGCACAGCTGCTCACCAGGCCGCGCATAGACTTCACCTCCATCTTCAGCACGGTAGGAACCTTCCTCCGATGTTTCTTCCGTAAAGTCCTCCTGTAACCTTCACGCTATTCAGCTCTCATTCTCAATCCGCCAATCCCCTACACCCCCCACCTCACCCCCGACCCTCCCAATCCCCTTTAACTTCTGGAATCACTAACGTTCCGACTCTCCCCCTTCCCCACTACCACGCCCTATTCCCCTCTCTCCCCCCCTCTCCTTCCGCTCCAGGTGGGCCCTATAGTGGAGGATGTGAGACAACGGGGCGACGAGGCTGTTAAAGAGTACGTACTGTAGCCCACCACTAAAGATCGCAATGTAACGCAGTTTCTGCTGGCTTCTGTAATCACCTATAACAGAGTGCCAATCCCTTCTGTTCCCCTCAGTCAATTGGCTGCTTCTCTTCCCAGCGTCCCGTTACACCTTCCCATCTTAATCCCCACCACCTCCCCTCCCCCATCTCGTAGCTTCGTTAAAATCCGTTAAAATCCGTTTACTGTTTGCCGATTCTCATACTCTTCTCCCCTTCTCCACCCCTTCCCATCTTGCCAATCCGCCACACGCCACCCATTTCCGACTCTCTCTCACTCTCTACCCCATGCCGCCTCCACCAATCAGGTACACGGAGAGGTTTGACCGAGTCAAACTGGATGACGTGGTGGTCAGAGTGGCAGAGCTGCCTGACCCTGAGGTAAGCACCACCGTCCACCCCTCCCCATCCCTCCCCCACCTTGCTCAAGTCACCCCACCGTCTCTTAGTCAGCTCAAAAGTGGTCGTCAGAGTGGCAGAGCTGCCTGACCCTGAGGTAAGGGTCAGTTACTGTTCGTTTCATCTAGCAACCGTCACTGTTCTCCACCCCCTCCCTTCAACCCCCTTCCTCTTTCTCCTATTTCTCGCACTCGCCCAGCCCTTGTCCACATGTTCATTCATTCCAGTCTCCTCCCCACTTCTTGACGACACCTTCACCTCCCAAGTTTTTTTTCTCAATTACACCCCTACCTCCGATCTCCCCTCCCCTTTCCCGCCTTTTCTCCTCTACCTCGACTCGACCCCTTCTCTCTCTCCTATCTCATTCCTGCCCGTTCCCGCGCCCTCAGCTGCCTGCTGACGTGGCAGCAGCGTTTGACGTGGCGTTCAGCAACATCCACAAGTTCCACCTGGCACAGATGCCGTCCAGCTCATTCCAAGTGGAGACCATGCCGGTGAGAGGGGAGAGGTGGGAGGAGATGGGTGCAGGCGAGGGGATAGGAGAGGAGAGGAGAGGAGAGGAGAGGGGCGGGTGGGAGGGGAGGTTGAGAGTTCTGAGTTGACTTGAAATGGTCCCACCTGGCACAGATGCCGTCCAGCTCGTTCCAAGAGGACACCATGCTGGTGAGAGGGGAGAAAGGTGGCAGCGGAGGAGTGGAGGAGTGTGAGAGGAGGGAGGGAGGGAGGGAGGGAGGGAGGGAGGGAGGAGGGAGGGAGGGAGGGAGGGAGGGAGGGAGGGAGGGAGGGAGGGAGGGAGGGAGGGAGAAAAAGGGCGGCGGGTGGGCGAGTGTGTGGGCGAGTGTGTGGGCGAGTGGCGGCGAGGCATATAGAAACGAGTGAAGCTCTATGAGAACCCCTCCCGTGTCTTTTTCCCGTACGTCTCACCCTTCCCCGCCCCTTCCCCCCTTTTCTAAAATGGCAGGGCGTGGTGTGTGGGCGAGTGGCGAGGCCCATAGAGCGAGTGGGGCTGTATGTGCCTGGGGGTACTGCTGTGCTGCCCTCCACTGCTCTCATGCTCGCCGTGGTGAGTGTGGAGAGAGAGTGAGGGATACGGGAGTGAGGGAGTGGGGATACGGGAAAGACGCCCCAAGGGAACGAGTGGGGCTGTATGTGCCTGGGGGAACCGCTGTGCTGCCCTCCACTGCTCTCATGCTCGCAGTGGTGAGTGCGGGAGAGCGTGGGGGGATAAGCAAGTGAGAGGTGAAGTGTAAGTGTGTGCGTTTGAAACCGCCCATCTTATTCAAGCCCCACCGCACTGCTTCAAGCCCCATCGCACCGACCATCACAGCCGACAGGCATAGCCTTTCCTTGCCGCCCCTCCTCTCACTGTTCATAGCAGGCTTCACCATTTTTGTTTACTCAAGGCAATTCATTCCTTTCGTTGCCATCCCTCCTCTCTACATGTCTCTGCACCCTTTTCCCTCAATCCATTTCTCCTTCCTCCACTCCAGCCGGCAGGCATAGCGGGCTGCACCTCTGTATGACGCCTCTCCCCCACTCCCCATTTAATTTCACTAAGTCTCTCCACCTCTTCCCCTCCCCTTTCCCTCGAATCCTCAATTCATCCTCTAACCCCATTCCAGCCCGCAGGCATAGCAGGCTGCACCACTGTTGTGGTCGCCACTCCTCCCCGCCCTGATGGTTCAATCTGTCCAGTAAGTTTCTTCCTGCCTGTTAAATCATCATGTTGATGTAATTTCTGCTCTCATGTGCACTCTCTTAAAGTATGTACTGGTCTGCGCCCAGCCCCATCGCCCATGAGAGGTGTGACTTATTTTGAGGCGCCTCAAGACCAGCCCACACCACCCATGAGGGGTGTGACTTATTTCGAGTCGCCTCAAAACCAGCCCCATCACCCATGAGGGAGGTGACTTGTTCTCACCCTCCTCGCCTCGCCACACTCCAGGATTTGCTCCCCTTCATCTGTGTTCCTACAACATCTCTGCATCACTTGTGTTTCCGTCACTCGATTATCATGGATCACGGTGAAAAGAGGAGGCGTACCATCGACGAGGCGGCAGGCGAACCCCTCTACAAGACGGAAATACGATGCATGTTAGGGATCATGCCAAAGGAGCAGCTCGTTTCTCTGCTCTTTGATGCAAAGCATGTGTAACAGAATGATGTTGAAATTTGAGGAGAAAAAAAAAAAAAAAAAAAAAAAAAAAAAAAAAAAAAAAAAACTGTGCACATCAAGGAGCAGAGAAACGAGCTGCTCCTTTGGCATGATCTCTAACATGCGTTGAATTTAACATGCGTTGAATTTCCTCTTGTAGAGGGGTTCGTCTACCGCTCGTCGATGGTACGCTTCCTCTTTTCACCGTGATCCATGATAATCAAGTGACGGAAACACGAGAGTGATGCAGAGATGCTGCAAAGATGCTGCATGAATACAGAAGAATCTCGACGCCACTCACATTCGCACATTTACCTTAAACATGATCACTCACACTCTCACCCTCTCCTTGCGACTCTCCTTGTCCGCATCATCTTCCTCACCCCCACCCGCTATTTTCCAGGAGGTGCTGTACTGCTGCAAGAAGGCAGGGGCCACTCACATTCTCAAGGCGGGAGGGGGCCCAGGTGTGTTCATGCGTTGCGTTTTTGTGCTTATAACGAGGTGAGCTAGTCCGGGGACGAGGAGAGGGGGACAGGAAGAAGAGCGAGAGGGAGAGAAAGAGGACACGGAAAGCATCGTAGATAGGGGAGGGTGGGGGGAAACGGTGCATTGCAGTGGTTTTTCTTACCCCTCAAGTGTTGAAACGCAAAGGGAAATATCATTCTTGTTGCTTCTCTTAGTTTCTCTGCCTTGTCCCCCATCCCCTTTCCCCTCACGCCTGCCACTGTCATTTGTTCCCATGGTGCGTGCAGGCTGTTGCGGCCATGGCATGGGGCACAGCCACCTGCCCCAAGGTAAGCCTTGCTTGCACTTTTCAAAAAACCATGGCTCCTGCATTCTGTGTGCCATAGCACTGCATGCCCCTACCCCATACCACGTGCCTTCCCTCAAGGTCTGATCCTCTTCCCTGCTTGTTCCAACCTCTGCCTCCTCCTTGCATCCCTCCCTGCGTCCCGTCACACATACCCCCTCACATCCCCACTTGCCCATTAACTGGAAGCCTATATATTCCTGAGGGCTGTATATTGAAGCCAACTTCTCTGGTGTCCTGCCCTGGGGGCCATAGGGGTCATACAAGGGGCCATAGGAACCTCTAGTTTCCTCAGGCGGTGCGGGCTGTGGCATCCCTCCATTCTACTAAACTTGCTCCTCTAATCCCCTTGGTCTGTCACCACTCATCACCGCTCATCACCACGCAGGTGGACAAGATCTTTGGGTTGGGCCTGGCAACCAGTAGGTGACAGCAGCCAAGACTCTCCACTCAACCTGCCCCTCCCCTCCATCACCCCCCATCATTGACAACCACCACCCATCACCGCCCTTCATTCATCATCACAGGTGGACAAGATCTTTGGCCTGGGTAACCAATGCGTGACAGCCGCCAAGATGGCGGTGCGTTTATGGCTCTCCCTTCTCCCGCCTTTGTCCCATCACCACCCATCACCACCCATCACCACCCATCACCGCACATAACCACGCAGGTGGACAAGATATTTTGGCCCCGGCAACCAGTACGTGACAGCCGCCAAGATGGCGCTGCAGACCAGTGAGGCCATGGTGTCTATCGACATGCCTGCTGGCCCTCTGAGGTGCTCGTTATTGCCGACGAGACCGCAAGCCCAGCCCACGTCGCTGCTGACCTGCTGTCCCAGGTGAGCACAGCTCAGTTCACTCACGTATGTATGTGCGACTCTCAGCTGTGAGTCAAGATGGCGTTGCAGACCAGTGAAGCGATGGTCTCTATCGACATGCCTGCGGGGCCCTCTGAGGTGCTCGTTATCGCTGATGAGACCGCAAGCCCAGCCCACGTTGCTGCTGACCTGCTGTCCCAGGTGAGCACAGCTCAGTTCACTCACGTATGTATGTGCGACTCTCAGCTGTGAGTCAAGTTGGCGTTGCAGACCAGTGAAGCGATGGTCTGCTGCTTCACTGCATCACCGCTAATTCGGGAAGGACCCGTTCTGTGCGACCAGTGAAGAAATGGTCTCTATCGACATGCCTGCGCTGCGGGGCCCTCTGAGGTGCTCGTTATCGCTGATGAGACTACCAGCCCGGCACATGTTGCCACCGGCCTACTGTCTCAGGTATGTCCAGTCCTGTCCAGGCCAGTGCACTCAGGTATGTATGTCCAGTTCTCAGCTGTGAGCCAAGATGGCGCTACGGACCAGTGAGGCGATGGTCTCTATCAACATGCCTGCTGGGCCCTCTGAGAGGCAACTGTGATCATCTTTCAAAGCTTTCCCTCTTTCCATCCCTCTCATCCAATGGCAGGCGGAGCACGGGCCGGACAGTCAGGTGGTGCTGGTGGTGGTGGGCGAGGGGGTGGATGTGTCAGCCATTGAAGCGGAGGTGGAGAGGCAGAGGGGGGAGTTGCCTCGTGGGGACGTTGCTGCCAAAGCGCTGAGCCACTCGTATGTGGTCGTTGCAGCGATATCAACGAGGTGAGACAAGGGCGCATAACCTGACATTGCAGTGACTTTTGAGTCGACTCAAAAGTCACCTCGTATGCCAAGGGCGCACAACCTCACATTGCAGTGTGTGGGTAGTAAGAGATGGGTGGAAAGGCAATGTTGCTGCCAAAGCGCTGAGCCACTCATATGTGGTGGTAGCAGCTGATATCAACGAGGTGAGATGCAGACTGTGAGGGTTATTGAGGTATATTACAGCCCAACAGAATAGTAATGCTCTGCTGCTGTATTGCATTCCACACAATATGTCCGCACTGCTGTTCATGTGTTGCAGGGATTTTTTGAGAATTCTCAAAAAATCCCTGCAGTTATGCTCTGCTGCTGTATTGCATTCCACACGATATGTCCGCACTGCTCTCATGTGTCTCACCGTCCCACCCCACCAGGCGTGTCTCTTCTCCAACCGCTACGCCCCCGAGCATCTCATCATCAACGCCGCACAGGCTGTGGACTGCCTGCCCCTCATCCGCAACGCTGGTTGGCACCCTTCCCCTTGCCCTTGTCTTTTTGCTGCTCCATTCTGGATGCACCTGGGGTCAGAAGAGGGATATGGGTTCACGCGCAGTGGCTAGAAATGGGTGGGTTGAAACCCATTGATGGAGGCTTGTCCCTCGGATTGTTGTGGTTGTGGATCACAGATTGCATTCGCGACCTTATTCCCAACCTCCATCCTATCACAGATGCCCCCACCTATCACCCCATACCCTTATTCCCCCATCCTCCATCCTCCCCTCAGGCTCGGTTTTCCTGGGTCCATGGACCCCCGGAGAGTGTGGGTGGGTGACTACGCCAGTGGCACCAACCACGTGCTGCCCACCTATAGCTATGCCCGCATGTGCGGCGGCGTGTCACTGGGCATGTGGTTGGTGATCCGACAGAGCACAGGAGACCATGCCATGCCACCCACATGCTCTCCTCCACTCAACATCATCCCCATCCCACACTCCCATCTCGCATCCCCCGTACCTCTGCTTCCTCATTCACTCTCAGGATCCGTCTTCCTGGGTCCATGGACTCCCGAGAGTGTGGGTGACTATGCCATACACATGCTCTCAGCCTCCTCTCGACACCATCCCCATCCCACTCTCCCATCTGCCATCCGCCCTCCTCTCTTCCCCCTGCAAACACCCAGGATCCGTCTTCCTGGGCCCATGGACCCCAGAGAGTGTGGGTGACTACGCCAGCGGCACCAACCACGTGCTGCCCACCTACGGCTACGCGCGCATGTACGGCGGCGTGTCTCTCGACGCCTTCTTCAAGCACATCACTGTGCAGTCACTCTCCGCCTCGGGCCTGCAGCTGCTGGGTCCCTCTGTGGCCAAGATGGCCGAGGTCGAAGGGCTGGAGGCACACAGGCGCGCGGTTACCCTACGGCTAGCGGACATCGAGGCTGCTTCTCAGTGAAAACTTCATGCGTTCGAGTGAAGGAATGTGCTTGCTGTATACTGAACGCTGTAGTGACTGACAGGTTCAAGGCTAGGGAGAAATGCCCCAGGTTGAAAAAGGCCGGCAGCATCAAGCACATCACCGTGAAAAAAAACAATATCTAGGCCAGCAGCATCAAGCACATCTCCAATCCTCCCTCCACTGCACAACAACACAAACTCTCTGTCTCAGGCCTCTAGTTGCTATGAGCCCTTCTGTGGCCCAGATCCCTGGAGGGGAGGGGCCCTTCTAGCTACCAAGGGTACTGCACACCGCGATCTGTGCGTGCTAAGCCACCTGTTCCTCTCAATTGTTCCTCTGAATTGTCCAACTGACACTTGTTCTAGCTGGTCATGACTTCCTCCTGACAGATGTTATTTGCATGGGAGATGCAATACGGTAGTGGCAGTGTGATTGCAGCTTCATACATGCTACACCCTGGTATGAATCAGGGTATGTATTTGTATGCTAGTACCTACAGTGCAACATATAAAATCCGTAAAACATACCGTAGCTAACTAAATGTTCAGTATTAAGCGCTCCAAATAAAAGTCTATTTTTACTGAAAGTTCAGTCTGAAATATCTAAATTACCGTAAGACTCAGCAGTGATATCTAAATTACCGTAAGACTCAGCAGTGATAATCCACAATATAAATAATTGATTATACAATTGTACTACCCATGCACAGTGGGTATGCATGGGGGGTTCCTCTTGGCCGCCAGGAGCAAGCTCCCAACGTTACACCCAAGCACCGCGGTGAGGTGGGAACCATCGCTTGGGACCCTGTTGGAGGGGGGGGAGGGGGCGACAGAACACAAAAGGAAACTGGATACTGCCCAGGGCAGGTGAGAATTATTCTCAAATCCAATGCAGCCGTCCTTGCTGCCCTGTCGTCCTGCACAGTTTTGCTCATTGCAAGATTTGCAGTGAGGAACAAGCAACAGCGTTTTGGGACGTCTCCCAAACCCTGATTTTGCTCACTGCAGCTAAACTGCAGTGAGGAAGGCGTGAGTTTTGAGACATCTCGCAAAACTCACAAGTTTAGTAAGGAAGAGAGAGAGAGTGTGTGTGTTAGTGAGTTTTGAGATGTCTCTCAAAACTCAGAGAAGAGAAGAGAGGGGGAACGGAACACTGCAGTGCACTGCAGGACACAACAGAACTGCCACCGGCAGCTCACAACTGGATTTGAGGCGCCTCAAACCAGCAAACGATTTTGACCCCACACCTCACTCTCACTATCACTCACACTCCACCCTCACTCTGCAGTCTGCTGCAGTTCTCAACACTCAGCTCACACTCACCCTCACTCTGCAGTCTGCTGCAGTTCTCAACACTCAGCTCACACTCACCCTCACTGTAACTCTCACTCCACCCCCTCACCCTCACCCTGCAGTCTGCTGCAGTTCTCAACACTCAGATCTTCCCTCACTCCTCTTCTAAGCTGCTACCCTCTCTCTGCCTTCCTCACACTCCTCACTCACTCTGACTCTCACTCGACCCTCACTCTGACCCTCACACTCACTCGGACTCTCACACTCACTCTGACTCTCACTCTCACCCTGACCCTCACACTCACTCTGACCCTCACTCTCACTCTGACTCTCACACTCACTCTCTCTCACCCTCTCTCGCTCCCTCCTCACTCTGCCCCCCATCACTCTGCTGCTAGCCGTCCCCTCTGCTCCTCTCTTCTCAGCAGGTGCCAGTAGTCGCCTCTGCTCCTCTGCAGTAGCACACGGGAGAGAGGCAGGTGGCTGCCATTGCTGCTCCTCCCAACAGGTGGCCTTCTCTTCTGCTCCTACACCTCCTCTCTTCCCAGCAGGTGCCAGTTGTCTCCTCTGCCACTGCTATTGCCACCACTAGTGTCTCTGCTGCTGTGCTCTTCTCTGCTCCTCTCTGCTGCTCACCTCCCCTCAGCCAACTCCTCTGCTCCTCTCCTCTGCTGCCCCTCAACTCGGCTTCCCAAAACTCTGCCCCCTTTCACTCTGCATCCCCTTCACAGCTGCTTCATCCCCTTCACAGCTGCTTCATCCCCTTCCATCTGCTTCATCCCCTTCACAGCTGCTTCATCCCCTTCACAGCTGCTTCATCCCCTTCACAGCTGCTTCATCCCCTTCACAGCTGCTTCATCCCCTTCACAGCTGCTTCATCCCCTTCACAGCTGCTTCATCCCCTTCACAGCTGCTTCATCCCCTTCACAGCTGCTTCATCCCCTTCACAGCTGCTTCATCCCCTTCACAGCTGCTTCATCCCCTTCACAGCTGCTTCATCCCCTTCACAGCTGCTTCATCCCCTTCACAGCTGCTTCATCCCCTTCACAGCTGCTTCATCCCCTTCACAGCTGCTTCATCCCCTTCACAGCTGCTTCATCCCCTTCACAGCTGCTTCATCCCCTTCACAGCTGCTTCATCCCCTTCACAGCTGCTTCATCCCCTTCACAGCTGCTTCATCCCCTTCACAGCTGCTTCATCCCCTTCACAGCTGCTTCATCCCCTTCACAGCTGCTTCATCCCCTTCACAGCTGCTTCATCCCCTTCACAGCTGCTTCATCCCCTTCACAGCTGCTTCATCCCCTTCACAGCTGCTTCATCCCCTTCACAGCTGCTTCATCCCCTTCACAGCTGCTTCATCCCCTTCACAGCTGCTTCATCCCCTTCACAGCTGCTTCATCCCCTTCACAGCTGCTTCATCCCCTTCACAGCTGCTTCATCCCCTTCACAGCTGCTTCATCCCCTTCACAGCTGCTTCATCCCCTTCACAGCTGCTTCATCCCCTTCACAGCTGCTTCATCCCCTTCACAGCTGCTTCATCCCCTTCACAGCTGCTTCATCCCCTTCACAGCTGCTTCATCCCCTTCACAGCTGCTTCATCCCCTTCACAGCTGCTTCATCCCCTTCACAGCTGCTTCATCCCCTTCACAGCTGCTTCATCCCCTTCACAGCTGCTTCATCCCCTTCACAGCTGCTTCATCCCCTTCACAGCTGCTTCATCCCCTTCACAGCTGCTTCATCCCCTTCACAGCTGCTTCATCCCCTTCACAGCTGCTTCATCCCCTTCACAGCTGCTTCATCCCCTTCACAGCTGCTTCATCCCCTTCACAGCTGCTTCATCCCCTTCACAGCTGCTTCATCCCCTTCACAGCTGCTTCATCCCCTTCACAGCTGCTTCATCCCCTTCACAGCTGCTTCATCCCCTTCACAGCTGCTTCATCCCCTTCACAGCTGCTTCATCCCCTTCACAGCTGCTTCATCCCCTTCACAGCTGCTTCATCCCCTTCACAGCTGCTTCATCCCCTTCACAGCTGCTTCATCCCCTTCACAGCTGCTTCATCCCCTTCACAGCTGCTTCATCCCCTTCACAGCTGCTTCATCCCCTTCACAGCTGCTTCATCCCCTTCACAGCTGCTTCATCCCCTTCACAGCTGCTTCATCCCCTTCACAGCTGCTTCATCCCCTTCACAGCTGCTTCATCCCCTTCACAGCTGCTTCATCCCCTTCACAGCTGCTTCATCCCCTTCACAGCTGCTTCATCCCCTTCACAGCTGCTTCATCCCCTTCACAGCTGCTTCATCCCCTTCACAGCTGCTTCATCCCCTTCACAGCTGCTTCATCCCCTTCACAGCTGCTTCATCCCCTTCACAGCTGCTTCATCCCCTTCACAGCTGCTTCATCCCCTTCACAGCTGCTTCATCCCCTTCACAGCTGCTTCATCCCCTTCACAGCTGCTTCATCCCCTTCACAGCTGCTTCATCCCCTTCACAGCTGCTTCATCCCCTTCACAGCTGCTTCATCCCCTTCACAGCTGCTTCATCCCCTTCACAGCCTGTAGCAGCCGTCTGCTCTGCTCGCCTGTACCAGCCGTCTGCAGTGCAGTGCAGCACCACTCCCCCTCCAGTGCAGCACCACTCCCCCTCCAGCGCAGCACCACTCCCCCTCCAGCGCAGCACCACTCCCCCTCCAGCGCAGCACCACTCCCCCTCCAGTGCAGCACCACTCCTACTCCAGCAGCAGCACCGCTCCACCACTTCACAGCCCCAGCAGCAGCACATGCGAGGGAGGTAGGAGCGAGGCAGCACAAGGCAGCTAAAGGTAGGTACAGCTTGCACCTTGCTGCTGCCAACTCTGGCCCCTTCTCTGCTCCTCTGCTCTATTCACCTGCTCATCACCTCTCCTGCAGTGGCCTCCTCTCCCAGCAGGTGCCAGTCGTCCCCTCTGCTCCTCTCCCAGCAGGTGCCAGTCGTCCCCTCTGCTCCTCTCCAGCAGGTGTCAGTCCTCTCCTCTGCTCCTCTGGAGTAGCACACGGGAGGAAGGCAGCATCATTTTCTCCCACTGCTGCTCCTCTGCTCCTCTGCAGTAGCACACATGAAGGGTGGCCTTCTCTTCTGCTGACTCTGCTGCTGCCACTGCTGGTACCACTGCTTGCATTCCCTTCTGCTGCCACGCCTGCTGAAACAAGTAATGTCACTGCGGGCCTCTCTTCTGCTCCCACTGCTGCTGCCACCGCTGCTGCCACTGCTGGCCTTTTCTTCTGCTAGCCATCCCATCACTTCACAGCACCAGCAGCAGCACGCGGGAGGGAGGTAGGAGCGAGGGAGGTAGCAGCTGCCATCCCATCACTTCACAGCACCAGCAGCGGCACGCGGGAGGCAGTAAACAGCTCGCAGCTTCCTGGTGTCGATTTCACAGCCGTGCATGTGTGCCTCCTCTCCTCCATGCCTTCTCCCCTCCATGCCTTCTCCCCTCCTTGCCTTCTCCCCTCCTTGCCTTCTCCCCTCCATGCCTTCTCCCCTCCTTGCCTTCTCCCCTCCATGCCTTCTCCCCTCCTTGCCTTCTCCCCTCCATGCCTTCTCCCCTCCTTGCCTTCTCCCCTCCATGCCTTCTCCCCTCCTTGCCTTCTCCCCTCCATGCCTTCCCTCCTCCATGCCTTCTTCCCTCCAGCAGCGTTGAGGGGAATCGCAGCTGTGCGGTTCTCTGCTGCTCTGCCCCATGTCTCTCTAATGCTCCATCTCCTTGTCATCTCCTTCCTCTTCTCCATCTCCTTCGCCTCTCCTTCCTCTCCTCTGCTGCGCCGTCTCCTCTGCAACACCATCTCCTGTGAAATGGGAAGAGACAGGCTCTGGGCACATAAGCTTGTATGCACTCCACACCATGAAAGACACAATCTCACAAAATGACAAGAGAGAAAGGACTTCGAGCATGCATACGGCAAGAAAGAAAGGACTTGCGAAACGAATAAGGCAGCAACCATGCACCTGAACAGAACAGAACAGATAAAGCAAGAAAGAGGATCTGAACACAACACATATTTACTCCACCAAGGTGCTTCTTCGCTCCTTTGCTCCTCCACGCCTCTGCTGCTCCTCAGCTCAGCAACCTCCTCTCCTCCCTCTGCTCCTCCTCCTCTGATGCATCTCCTCTGCTCCTCCTCCTCTGATGCATCTCCTCTGCTCCTCCTCCTCTCATGCATCTCCTCTGCTCCTCCTCCTCTGATGCATCTCCTCTGCTCCTCCTCCTCTGATGCATCTCCTCTGCTCCTCCTCCTCTGATGCATCTCCTCTGCTCCTCCTCCTCTGATGCATCTCCTCTGCTCCTCCTCCTCTGATGCATCTCCTCTGCTCCTCCTCCTCTGATGCATCTCCTCTGCTCCTCCTCCTCTGATGCATCTCCTCTGCTCCTCCTCCTCTGATGCATCTCCTCTGCTCCTCCTCCTCTGATGCATCTCCTCTGCTCCTCCTCCTCTGATGCATCTCCTCTGCTCCTCCTCCTCTGATGCATCTCCTCTGCTCCTCCTCCTCTGATGCATCTCCTCTGCTCCTCCTCCTCTGATGCATCTCCTCTGCTCCTCCTCCTCTGATGCATCTCCTCCCAAAATGACAAGAGAGAAAGGACTTCGAGCATGCATACGGCAAGAAAGAAAGGACTTGCGAAACGAATAAGGCAGCAACCATGCACCTGAACAGAACAGAACAGATAAAGCAAGAAAGAGGATCTGAACACAACACATATTTACTCCACCAAGGTGCTTCTTCGCTCCTTTGCTCCTCCACGCCTCTGCTGCTCCTCAGCTCAGCAACCTCCTCTCCTCCCTCTGCTCCTCCTCCTCTGATGCATCTCCTCTGCTCCTCCTCCTCTGATGCATCTCCTCTGCTCCTCCTCCTCTCATGCATCTCCTCTGCTCCTCCTCCTCTGATGCATCTCCTCTGCTCCTCCTCCTCTGATGCATCTCCTCTGCTCCTCCTCCTCTGATGCATCTCCTCTGCTCCTCCTCCTCTGATGCATCTCCTCTGCTCCTCCTCCTCTGATGCATCTCCTCTGCTCCTCCTCCTCTGATGCATCTCCTCTGCTCCTCCTCCTCTGATGCATCTCCTCTGCTCCTCCTCCTCTGATGCATCTCCTCTGCTCCTCCTCCTCTGATGCATCTCCTCTGCTCCTCCTCCTCTGATGCATCTCCTCTGCTCCTCCTCCTCTGATGCATCTCCTCTGCTCCTCCTCCTCTGATGCATCTCCTCTGCTCCTCCTCCTCTGATGCATCTCCTCTGCTCCTCCTCCTCTGATGCATCTCCTCTGCTCCTCCTCCTCTGATGCATCTCCTCTGCTCCTCCTCCTCTGATGCATCTCCTCTGCTCCTCCTCCTCTCATGCATCTCCTCTGCTCCTCCTCCTCTGATGCATCTCCTCTGCTCCTCCTCCTCTGATGCATCTCCTCTGCTCCTCCTCCTCTGATGCATCTCCTCTGCTCCTCCTCCTCTCATGCATCTCCTCTGCTCCTCCTCCTCTGATGCATCTCCTCTGCTCCTCCTCCTCTGATGCATCTCCTCTGCTCCTCCTCCTCTGATGCATCTCCTCTGCTCCTCCTCCTCTGATGCATCTCCTCTGCTCCTCCTCCTCTGATGCATCTCCTCTGCTCCTCCTCCTCTGATGCATCTCCTCTGCTCCTCCTCCTCTGATGCATCTCCTCTGCTCCTCCTCCTCTGATGCATCTCCTCTGCTCCTCCTCCTCTGATGCATCTCCTCTGCTCCTCCTCCTCTCATGCATCTCCTCTGCTCCTCCTCCTCTGATGCATCTCCTCTGCGCCTCTACCCTCCTCTGATGCATCTCCTCTGCTCCTCCTCCTCTGATGCATCTCCTCTGCTCCTCCTCCTCTGATGCATCTCCTCTGCGTTGAGCAAGGCCGGAAGAAATGGGAAGGAATGGGAAGGATTAAAACGTTATGAGCACCCAGCGATTGCACCCAGAGCCCAAAAACTGATTCAAAATCGATGCCAAGCGAACAAAGCAACGACCATCAATCCGAAGGAGAAAGAAATCAAGAACAGGAAATAAGAATGCTCACTGGCAGTGGCAATGGCCGGGAATCCTTCCTCCTGCCGCCTCCGCCTCCGCTGCTCCTCTCATCCTCTACTCCTCCGCCTCCGCTGCTGCTCCTATCTGCTGCGCTCCTCTGCTCCTCCCGCACTCCTCTCCTCCCACAATCCTCTCCTCCCGAACTCCTCTGCTCCCCTTTCTCTGCTAAATCAGACAAACAAGGAAATAAGTGCATGTGGAAAACAAGAAAACAGAAATGGACGAGCACTAACCGAGGGGAATGGAGCCGTCTCGAAGTCTTGGGGCTGTCTGAAAGGGGAGGGAGGCAACAAACCACGACATTAGTACATGTGGAAAACAAGAAAACAGAAATGGACGAGCACTTACCGAGGGGAATGGAGGCATCTGGAAGTCTTGGGGCTGTCTGAAAGGGGAGGGAGGCAACAAACCAGGACATTAGTGGATGTGGAAAACAAGAAAACAGAAATGGACGAGCACTTACCGAGGGGAATGAAGCCGTCTCGAAGTCTTGGGGCTGTCTGAAAGGGGAGGGAGGCAACAAACCACGACATTAGTACATGTGGAAAACAAGAAAACAGAAATGGACGAGCACTTACCGAGGGGAATGAAGCCGTCTTGAAGTCTTGGGGCTGTCTGAAAGGGGAGGGAGGCAACCAACCACGACATTAGTACATGTGGAAAACAAGAAAACAGAAATGGACGAGCACTTACCGAGGGGAATGAAGCCGTCTTGAAGTCTTGGGGCTGTCTGAAAGGGGAGGGAGGCAACAAACCACGACATTAGTACATGTGGAAAACAAGAAAACAGAAATGGACGAGCACTTACCGAGGGGAATGGAGGCATCTGGAAGTCTTGGGGCTGTCTGAAAGGGGAGGGAGGCAACAAACCACGACATTAGTGCATGTGGAAAACAAGAAAACAGAAATGGACGAGCACTTACCGAGGGGAATGAAGCCGTCTTGAAGTCTTGGGGCTGTCTGAAAGGGGAGGGAGGCAACAAACCACGACATTAGTACATGTGGAAAACAAGAAAACAGAAATGGACGAGCACTTACCGAGGGGAATGAAGCCGTCTTGAAGTCTTGGGGCTGTCTGAAAGGGGAGGGAGGCAACCAACCAGGACATTAGTGCATGTGGAAAACAAGAAAACAGAAATGGACGAGCACTTACCGAGGGGAATGAAGCCGTCTTGAAGTCTTGGGGCTGTCTGAAAGGGGAGGGAGGCAACAAACCACGACATTAGTGTATGTGGAAAACAAGAAAACAGAAATGGACGAGCACTTACCGAGGGGAATGAAGCTGTCTTGAAATCTTGGGGCTGTCTGAAAGGGGAGGGAGGCAACAAACCACGACATTAGTGCATGTGGAAAACAGGAAAACAGAAATGGAAGATAACTCACCGAGGGGGTTGAAGCGTTCTTGATGTATTGGTGACAACTAAGACAAGAAGACACACACATAACAACATTAGGCATGAGACGACACAAAAAAAGCAAAAAAGGCTGCAGCTTACAACGGGTCCTAGCTGCTGCGTCCCCGTGTTGCTCCCGCCTTGGTGTTGCCCCTTAATGCTTGCTTTACCTAGAAGTGGGGTGGCACAGAAATTATATTTTGAAGGCGCCTCACTTGAAGGCGCCGCTCCACCTCCCGCTGCTCCTCTTGTGTTGATCCTTTGCCCCCCAGGGGGTCAAAGCGCCTCACTTGAAGCTCCACTGCTGCCCGTCCTTGCTGCCGCGGTCTTCTGCCCAGTCTTGCTTCAGGACGAGCTGTGCAATTTAGCTCACTGCAACGCTCGCAGTGAGGAACATGCAAAAGAGTTTTGAGACACTCATCTCCCAAAACCCTGGTTTTGCTCACTTCAGCTAAGCTGCAGTGAGGAGGAAGAGAGAGTTTGAAGAGTGCGTTTCGAGATGTCTTTCGAAACTCACAAGGGAGCGAGTTTTGAGATGTCTCTCAAAACTCACTCGGAGAAGAGAAGAGAGGAGGAACGGAACACTGCAGTGCACTGCAGGACACAACAAAACTGGATTTGAGGCGCCTCAAACCAGCAAACGAGGTCCTCACACCTCACACTCACTCTGACTCTCACTCTCACTCTGACCCTCACTCTCACCCTCGCTCTCCCCTCACTCTCCTCTCACCCTCGCTCTCTTCTCACTCTCCTCTCACTCTCGCTCTCCTCACGTCCTCTCTATGCTCCTCCCAGCAGGTCCCAGCCGTCTCCTTCCGCTGCTGCTGCTGCTACTGCTGCTCCCCGCTGCTGCTGCTGCCACCGCTGGTGTCACAGCGGACCTCTCTCCTTCTCCCACCGCTGCTGCCACCGCTGGTGTCACTGCTGGTCTTCTCTTCTGCTGCCAGCCACTGCTGCTGTCAGCTGTAGTGTCATTGCGGACCTCTCTCCTTCTCCCACCGCTGCTGCCACCGCTGGTGTCACTGCTGGTCTTCTCTTCTGCTGCCAGCCACTGCTGCTGTCAGCTGTAGTGTCATTGCGGACCTCTCTCCTTCTCCCACCGCTGCTGCCACCGCTGGTGTCACTGCTGGTCTTCTCTTCTGCTGCCAGCCACTGCTGCTGTCAGCTGTAGTGTCATTGCGGACCTCTCTCCTTCTCCCACCGCTGCTGCCACCGCTGGTGTCACTGCTGGTCTTCTCTTCTGCTGCCAGCCACTGCTGCTGTCAGCTGTAGTGTCATTGCGGACCTCTCTCCTTCTCCCACCGCTGCTGCCACCGCTGGTGTCACTGCTGGTCTTCTCTTCTGCTGCCAGCCACTGCTGCTGTCAGCTGTAGTGTCATTGCGGACCTCTCTCCTTCTCCCACCGCTGCTGCCACCGCTGGTGTCACTGCTGGTCTTCTCTTCTGCTGCCAGCCACTGCTGCTGTCAGCTGTAGTGTCATTGCGGACCTCTCTCCTTCTCCCACCGCTGCTGCCACCGCATGTGTCACTACCTGCATCCCCTTCTGCTGCCACTGCTGCTGCCACCGGGTAATGTCACTGCGGGCCTCTCTCCTGCTCCCACTGCCGCTGCCACCGCTGGTACCACTGCTGGTCAACGCAGCTTGTCGTTGTGCCATCACTCCACATCACAGCACCAGCAACAGCACGTAGGAGGTAGTAGCGCCAGCAGCAGCGCCAGAAAAGTGTAGGGCATTCGTCTCGTGTTGCCACTTCTTCTGCCCCTGCCGCTGCCGCTCACACTGCTGCTTCTGCCACTGCCGCTCTCCTCCTGCTTTCACTGCTGCCGCTGCCAATGCTGCTCCTGTTGCTGCTTCTCCTCAGACTTACTCCCTGGACAGTGCCAGAAAATCGCAATCGCACAGGGAAGATCAATCAGTGAGTCGACAGAGCAGATTGACAGAGAGAAGAAGATCGAATGCAAGGAGGAAAAAGGACAGCGGGAAAGCGACGAAGAACACGAAAGCAATTGAAACTACTAAGGCAGAAAAAAACTCCAATGAGGAGAGAGAAGGGAGCGGGGGGATTAGAAAGAAACGGGGGTGTTCTGTCATGGCTCCAGTTACTTACTTGCTTATCCAGTCGCTGCTACTCCAGCTGCCCCCAACACAGCAGGTGCTATCAGTCGCTGCTACCCCATCTTCAGACCCTCGCCTTAGCGTTGCCTCCCTGAACAGAGATCAGAGAGTCGCAGGGAAGGATAACCAGAGAAGAGTCGACAGAGCAAATTGACAGAGTGAAGAAGACCAAATGCAAGGAGGAAAAAGGACAGCGGAAAACGACAAAGAAAACGAATGCCTTACAAACACTGAAGTGAGTGTAAAACGCGAACGGGGAGGAAGATGGGAGGGCAAGAAGAAAGGAAGAGCTCCAGACACTTGCTTCTCAAATCGTCGCTTCTCCAGTTGCTGCTTTTCCACTCGCCGCTTCTCCAACACAGCAGCACCGCTCCAGCACAGCAGCACCGCCTCCAACACAGCAGCACCGCTCCAACAGCAGCACCGCACAGCGCCTCCAACACAGCAGCACCGCTTCCAACACAGCAGCACCGCCTCCAACACAGCAGCCCCACTTCCAACACAGCAGCACCGCCTCCAACACAGCAGCACCGCTCCAACACAGCAGCACCGCTCCAACACAGCAGCACCGCTCCAACACAGAGCAGCAGCACCGCCTCCAACACAGCAGCACCGCTCCAACACAGCAGCACCGCCTCCAACACAGCAGCACCGCTCCAACACAGCAGCACCGCCTCCAACACAGAGCAGCAGAACCACGCCACCTCCTTCGCAGCAGCATTGAAGGCCAGCGCCATGGACTGCCATAGCGCCATGGACTGCCATAGCGCCATGGACTGCCATAGCGCCATGGACTGCCATAGCGCCATGGACTGCCATAGCGCCATGGACTGCCATAGCGCCATGGACTGCCATAGCGCCATGGACTGCCATAGCGCCATGGACTGCCATAGCGCCATGGACTGCCATAGCGCCATGGACTGCCATAGCGCCATGGACTGCCATAGCGCCATGGACTGCCATAGCGCCATGGACTGCCATAGCGCCATGGACTGCCATAGCGCCATGGACTGCCATAGCGCCATGGACTGCCATAGCGCCATGGACTGCCATAGCGCCATGGACTGCCATAGCGCCATGGACTGCCATAGCGCCATGGACTGCCATAGCGCCATGGACTGCCATAGCGCCATGGACTGCCATAGCGCCATGGACTGCCATAGCGCCATGGACTGCCATAGCGCCATGGACTGCCATAGCGCCATGGACTGCCATAGCGCCATGGACTGCCATAGCGCCATGGACTGCCATAGCGCCATGGACTGCCATAGCGCCATGGACTGCCATAGCGCCATGGACTGCCATAGCGCCATGGACTGCCATAGCGCCATGGACTGCCATAGCGCCATGGACTGCCATAGCGCCATGGACTGCCATAGCGCCATGGACTGCCATAGCGCCATGGACTGCCATAGCGCCATGGACTGCCATAGCGCCATGGACTGCCATAGCGCCATGGACTGCCATAGCGCCATGGACTGCCATAGCGCCATGGACTGCCATAGCGCCATGGACTGCCATAGCGCCATGGACTGCCATAGCGCCATGGACTGCCATAGCGCCATGGACTGCCATAGCGCCATGGACTGCCATAGCGCCATGGACTGCCATAGCGCCATGGACTGCCATAGCGCCATGGACTGCCATAGCGCCATGGACTGCCATAGCGCCATGGACTGCCATAGCGCCATGGACTGCCATAGCGCCATGGACTGCCATAGCGCCATGGACTGCCATAGCGCCATGGACTGCCATAGCGCCATGGACTGCCATAGCGCCATGGACTGCCATAGCGCCATGGACTGCCATAGCGCCATGGACTGCCATAGCGCCATGGACTGCCATAGCGCCATGGACTGCCATAGCGCCATGGACTGCCATAGCGCCATGGACTGCCATAGCGCCATGGACTGCCATAGCGCCATGGACTGCCATAGCGCCATGGACTGCCATAGCGCCATGGACTGCCATAGCGCCATGGACTGCCATAGCGCCATGGACTGCCATAGCGCCATGGACTGCCATAGCGCCATGGACTGCCATAGCGCCATGGACTGCCATAGCGCCATGGACTGCCATAGCGCCATGGACTGCCATAGCGCCATGGACTGCCATAGCGCCATGGACTGCCATAGCGCCATGGACTGCCATAGCGCCATGGACTGCCATAGCGCCATGGACTGCCATAGCGCCATGGACTGCCATAGCGCCATGGACTGCCATAGCGCCATGGACTGCCATAGCGCCATGGACTGCCATAGCGCCATGGACTGCCATAGCGCCATGGACTGCCATAGCGCCATGGACTGCCATAGCGCCATGGACTGCCATAGCGCCATGGACTGCCATAGCGCCATGGACTGCCATAGCGCCATGGACTGCCATAGCGCCATGGACTGCCATAGCGCCATGGACTGCCATAGCGCCATGGACTGCCATAGCGCCATGGACTGCCATAGCGCCATGGACTGCCATAGCGCCATGGACTGCCATAGCGCCATGGACTGCCATAGCGCCATGGACTGCCATAGCGCCATGGACTGCCATAGCGCCATGGACTGCCATAGCGCCATGGACTGCCATAGCGCCATGGACTGCCATAGCGCCATGGACTGCCATAGCGCCATGGACTGCCATAGCGCCATGGACTGCCATAGCGCCATGGACTGCCATAGCGCCATGGACTGCCATAGCGCCATGGACTGCCATAGCGCCATGGACTGCCATAGCGCCATGGACTGCCATAGCGCCATGGACTGCCATAGCGCCATGGACTGCCATAGCGCCATGGACTGCCATAGCGCCATGGACTGCCATAGCGCCATGGACTGCCATAGCGCCATGGACTGCCATAGCGCCATGGACTGCCATAGCGCCATGGACTGCCATAGCGCCATGGACTGCCATAGCGCCATGGACTGCCATAGCGCCATGGACTGCCATAGCGCCATGGACTGCCATAGCGCCATGGACTGCCATAGCGCCATGGACTGCCATAGCGCCATGGACTGCCATAGCGCCATGGACTGCCATAGCGCCATGGACTGCCATAGCGCCATGGACTGCCATAGCGCCATGGACTGCTGCTCCGTCTTCCCACCCACGCCTTAGCGTTGCCTCCCTGCACAGAGATCAGAGAGTCACAGGGAAGGATAATCAGAGAAAAGGAGTTGACAGAGCAGATTGCCAGAGTGAAGAAAACCGAATGCAAGCAAGGAGGAAAAAGGACAGCAGAAAAACGACAACGAAAACGAATGCCTTAAAAACACTGAAGTGAGTGGAAAACGCAAATGAAGAGGAAGATGGGAGGGCGAGGAGAAGAAAGGAAGAGCTCCAGATACTTACTTGCTTCTCAAGTCGTTGCTTCTCCAGTTGCTGCTTTTCCACTCGCCGCTTCTCCAACACAGCAGCACCGTTCCAACACAGCAGCACCGCCTCCAACACAGCAGCACCGCTTCCAACACAGCAGCACCGCCTCCAACACAGCAGCCCCGCTTCCAACACAGCAGCACCGCCTCCAACACAGCAGCACCTCCTGCAACACAGCAGCACCGCCTCCAACACAGCAGCACCTCCTCCAACACAGCAGCACCGCCTCCAACACAGCAGCACCACCTCCAACACAGCAGCTCCGCCTCCTACACAGCAGCACCACTCCATTGCAGCAGCAGCACCCTTTGACGAGGTAGCAGCACCACTCCACCTTCAACGCCACAACAACGCGAGTCAGCCATCTCCTCCTGCAGCCACACGAGACCAGACGCCAGCGGCACCGCTCCAGACCTTACTGAAAGACAAGCTTATATCGCCTCCACTCCTGCACGGAAAGTATAAGGTGCAGCGAGTGAGACACGTCATTATGATTGAATGCGCAGAAACCGAAATGTGCAGTTTTAATGGAAACTAAACGTGAACACCAAGAGAGTAATAGCAAGCAATTGGGGACATAGAAATTGAATGATAAGAGCAAAAAAGCCGCCATGAAACGTTTTGTCTACCAATTGCGCGTTCTGCTGTGAATACTCACCACAAATGTGTGGCGGCGAGCCCCCGTAGTAGTAGCAAGTCACATGTTCCGTAGGAGCGTCGCGAGCAGGGACATTCGCGATTTCGTTCGGATGTCGGGAGCTTCGTACGGACGTCGCAAGCTTCGTACGGATGTCGCGAGCTTCGTACGGACGTCGCGAGCTTCGTAAGGACGTCGCGAGCTTCGTACGGACGTCGCGAGCTTCGTACGGACGTCGCGAGCTTCGTACGGACGTCGCGAGCTTCGTACGGACGTCGCGAGCTGCTCCTCCGTCATCGAATCCGCGCTGCTCCCGCCGTGACGCATCCGCTCAGTTGTTCTCCGCAAAGCTCCGCGCTCCTTCGTCAGCGTCAAATGTCTCCGTCAGCGTCGGATGTTTCCGTCAACGTCGGATGCCTTCGTCAGCTTCGGATGTCTCCGTCAGCGTCAGATGTCTCCGTCAGCGTCATGTCTTCGTCAGCGGCGTCCGTCTCCGTCAGCCTCATGTATTCGTCAGCGTCGTCCGTCTCCGTCAGCGTCATGTCTTCGTCAGCGTCGGATGTCTCCGTCAGCGTCGTCCGCCTCCGTCAGCGTCATGTGTTCGTCAGCGTCGTCCGTCTCCGTCAGCGTCATGTCTTCGTCAGCGTCGGACGTCTCCGTCAGCGTCGGATGTCTCCGTCAGCGTCGGATGTCTCGTCAGCGTCGCAAGCGTCGTCGGCAGTACCTTGCCCGTCAGCACTCCTTAGTCAGCGTCGTCTACAGTACGCAATGCTCCGCACTCAGCGTCGTTAGCATAGCGTAGCAATCGAGGCCTTGTACGCGGTCGATTGAAAATGCGAAAGCGACGAAGAGAGTTGACGGCTTTGCAGCGACAACCTTCTCGTGAGCGGCTGAGCGTCGGATGGGAGATACGAGAGCGACGCGAGCTGAAGCGTCGCACAGATAACAGCGTTGGCTTGAACGCGACTCCTTCTCGTCTGAAGTAGCGACGTCACGAGCGGAGGCGATGGCTGGAACGTCGCACATATGTAGCAAAGAATTGTAACGATATAGATGTCTGAAACTTCACGATAAATCGTCGTAGAAAACGTCACGAGATGATGACTTAAACGTCACGATAATCGTCATGGAAAGGCTTCGTAAACGTCAGGAACATGGTCGCACCACGTCGCGTCCAGCATGATAAATAAATCTTATACTAGCACTGATGAGATCTGCTTCTATGACTATGCTCTAAGATCCTTCCAGACTCTAAGTTTCACGCTACCATCCTCCTACCACGAAATTATAGATCATGGACTAACGCTGATGAAACCGACAACTATTGCTAGGCTCTAAGATTCTGCTACAATCCTCCTAGAACATCTTAAGCTTTACGCGATTCGGGAAGAGACTACGTCGCGGAATTTACCTCCACGGTGCAGCTAACCTAGGAAGCCATGGATTCGGTTCCATAGAGTTGGCTAACGCAAGGAGATTCCTCTCTGAAACAACCTCTGCAGAGAGAATGGCTGAGGGGGATTCAGAGGAGGTAGACCAAGCGACGAGATTTGGGACAAGGAAAAAACAAAGTTCGGTACGGTGAGGAAGGTTTCAGCTAGGTGAGAGTAGTTCATGAGGGATGGTACGGGTTTCGGAAAGGTGAGAAAGGTTGAGGCCAGGTGAGGTGGGATGAGGCTGTGTGTGGTGAGGTGAGAGAAAGGCGAAGGGGAAGGAGCTGAACGGCAAGGAGCGGGAAGTCGAGTCGCGACTTGTTCACCGCAGCCAAAGGGGGAGGGTTCCCCCCGTCTCGGCAAGCTCGAGGCGCAATCCGCTGCAAAGTTCGCTGACGAGTTGCGCTGAATGGCTGGAATCCGCGGGGAAGTCCGCCGACGGTCCGTGCCTAAGGCAGGGAACGGTGGAAAGTGGTGTGAGTCAGGGAGGAGGCCAAGAGGTTTGGCGAGGAGACAGTCTTTTCGCGGGCAAAAGCCGTGGTATGCGAAATGTGCCTAAGGGAGATATGTTACCCAGTGATGACGGATGATCTGACGGCTGAACACAGTTATCTGGAGTGGATGATTCGGCTTTGGCATGATGTGGATGGCATGGTTTGTTACCACCAATCAGATATCAGATTTGAGCTCCTATGGATGTGGATGTCATGGCCCAGCCGAGCCGCTGTAATCATGTGTCATTCATGAGCTGAAGGGCTCGTGTCAGACGACCTCGACTTCAAATTTGAGTCGGTTGCCAAAGTCAATGATTTGGGCGGGATGCAGCTAACGTCCCCGTTTTGAATCTCGTTTCGATAAGATTACGCACGAGTACAATGTGGAGGGTGAACCTCTGATTAAGGAATGACACTACTCAGAACACTTGAAAAACTTGCCATTACACTTGATCTTGCTAATAAATGTACGAGATTAAAATCAAGCCTACATTGGGGATAATCAATCCTTTTACTGGAAGTTCTTGAGTTGGGGCTTGATTCACAAACCCCCCAGGTAAATGGCTTGTATGATAATTATTAATTATTTTCAAGGCTCCCACTATTGGAGATCTAGTAAAATGTCAGGCACCATTATTCTATTCACTCCATGCACCACCATGTGTGCATCCGTATAGAGGTCTGGCAGCACCACTCGTACACTCCCCTGCGCTCCCAGCAGTGGCTTGCCCAGCACAATGCCCTCCCCTTCTACCTTCTCCATCTCCATCTCCTCAAACCCTGTTGTGAACTGCATGGGCACCAGAGGGGTGAAAAGGAGGGGGGAAAAGGGTGGTTCAGAGAGGGAGAGAGGGAAGAGCTTGGGGAGGGGAGAAGGAAAGAGAGGGAGTGGCTGGAGGAGTGAGGGCTGGGGAGCACAAATTGCCAGCACATGTATGCAGCAGCACCTCTACCATCTCAGCAAAAGAGTGAGGCAATGGTCAATGGCGCTGGTGCTAGTATGCGTGCATGAGCGCAACACCACTGACACCCATCTCATTCACATCTCTAGGGTTCTCATCCTTCACGCACCAGTGATCCTGCCGGTAGTTCTGCCAGTTGAGCGGCAGAGAGCTTCCGGCCGAGAGTGTGGAAGGCGAGCACGCGGTGCATGACGCTGGCGCGGTGCGTGAGGTAGCGGCGCGTGACGGGTGGGAGGGACGTGAACGCGCCGTTGATTGGCGCGAGTAACGTTATGCGCATCCGCGAGAGGAGAAACGATAGTGTGGTGTTAAAATCTGCGCACAGGTCAAGACACGCCGGGAAAGGGAGGGAAAGCACGGAGCGTGGGAAAGCACCAGCGGGGGGTGGGGAGGGGACGGTGGAAGGAGGGAAGGGGAGAGGAGGCAGAGGCGGCACGGAGAATGAGAGTTATAGGGTGCTTGCAGGGAAGGAACCCTAAAATGCAGTGCTCTCGATCTTTAACAATCCCTTCTGTGTGCCAGGAGACGATCCTTTCTAGACGTGCAAATCTTGTATCATCTGAAGTGTTACGGAGAAGCAGGGTGCATCGCGCCGCCTCATTACTATGCCTGGACTAGGTTCGACCGTTGATGATACGAAGCTTACGAGATCTTTCCATGTTGGAGACCAGCAGCGTGAGCCCTTTCTCTCGCATTCTCGCAGCCATCGCCGCATAAGCCACTTCTCCGTCGTACTCTTGTAACGAGTCCTCGCTGACGTCTGTTGCGTCGGCGTGGATCCCTGTAACGAGGATAGCCTGTGCCATTATAATAGTGACAACTAGGGCGCGTAATCTGTACACTCGCGAAGTATCCATTTTGTGTGCAGAGAGATACTCGGACTGAAGCTGGAGGGTGGTAGACCTTTCTATCCACAGTGAGACTATCCAAATATCAAATATCTGCTGCTAATAATTTAAAGGAAGGATCAGGCTTGCGCCGATAACAACACACTGACGGAGTGCGCGATGGAAATGCAGTCGAGCGCCCGAATAACGAACATTAAGCTAATGCAGCTAATCTTCCACAAACACTAATGTGTTTTGGCTGGTGGCACAAGTAGCGCCCCACTGGAGGGAAAGGGGGTTGTGGTGGGGCGGGGCGGGGAGGAGCAGGTTGGAATTTGGGAAGGCCGAAACGGTTGGATGGAGTTTGGGAAGGTTGGATGGAGGGGCGTTGCGAGATGTGTTGTGGCGGAACTGAATTTTTCTATAGGGAATGCCTTCGCCTGCGACTCGTGGAGTATGGGAGCCACCAGACCATGTTGACTGGGTCGCGTGGCTGCTATTGGGTGGACGAGGCCCTGCTGGGGGTTTTTGTTTGGAAGCTCGTGGCGTTGATGTGCGCTGGTGGCACAAGAAATGGCAGCTGTGTGGCTATTGCGCCAGCTCTCAACAAAGCGTCGTTCAATACTGGTGGAATGGAATAACAGATTGTTTCAGCTAAACGCGACAGAATCCACACTTAGCAGAAAACCCCTCGGCCTGGGCGGGGTCGCGTCAGGAACTCGCAAGCAGTAGGTTGGTTTGAGACCATGCTGTACGCGGTACTAAAAATGCTAGTGCAACTATTATCGGTCGGCTATCTAATTACAATTGTTTGTTATTGTGAGGCCCATCTTTTTAGTGCTATCAAAACCAATCCCTGTATCGAAGTTGGCGTTGCCTAGAGTTCTCGCGCCCTGCAAGCTTTCGCTTCTGTCCCGCTTCATCGTCAGGCACACGCCATCACGGCGGGCGAAGCTTCATCATCAGCAACACCATAGCTAGTTACCGTCCGATCGTCTCTGACACCTCAAAGTGAATCCACTTACCGTCCGATAATTGGACCACGCTCCATCATTCCATCAACCATTCTTCCTTCTTACCATGGTCAGCACCAGTATCGTGTAACGAAGCTCCTAGAAGCCATGTCCCCCACACACACACCACTCCAGGCTTCTTGATTTCACATGTCTGGTGAATCTGTCGTGTCTTGTTGCTCCCGTCACCAACGCTTGTTCACGAGTGCTGGTGCTGCTGCTGTTGGCAAGATCCAGTCATTTCCATTTAGGCGTTGCAATAGGATTGCTCAAGGCACTCCGCAGACACTGCATTTAGGTCTTCGCTGTAACACTTTCTCTGCGGTAGGGCTTAATCACACACAACTCATCCAATCCCACCGTCATTTTACATTTTTTTTTTTTTTTTTTTTTCTTTCTCTGACTTCCCGTTGGTAGACGAAATCGAGTCGTAATTGTCTTTTGCATGCCAATCTGACGGCTCTAGATGATGGATCGAGTGACAGGTTCGGATCCTGGGGATCCAGCGACAGCCATACCTGCTGAGATGATAAATTCTCCGCAGAGACGTTCGGACTTGACCCCTCCTACCGACAAACTTCAAACAGAATCCGGCGTCGCTCAGTTACCGTTAGATGCTGTACGTGGATCGTCCGATGCTGCTCATGGACCGTCAGATGCTGAACAGGGACCGTCGGATGCTGCAGGACCGTCAGATGCTGCTCAGGTTCCTTCAGATAATGTGCGACCGTCGGATGCAGCACACCGGCCGTCAGATCAGGTGGCCGATGCCTGTCAAGTGAAGGTCGAGGCATCTGAAGCGAAGCGGCAGACCGAATCGACTGAGAAGCATCACGACGCGAGTTCGCAACAGCCTGTAGCATCGGAGAAACATGAACAGGATCAGGGTTTTAAAACACCTGAGTTGGCCGATGCCTGTCAGAAGAAGGTTGAGGCATCTGAAGAGAAGCAGCAGACTGATTTGACTGAGAAGCATCATGACACCATATCACAGCAGCTTGAAGCATTGGAGAAGCACGATCAGGATCAGAGCTCTGGAGCTCCCGAGGAGCCTGATCAAAACCCTGAAGCTCCTGAAAACCCCGGGCAGGTTTCTAAAGCGCCTGAGAAGTTTCATCAAGACCCAGGAGCACCTGTGAAACATGATCATAATCTTGACCTAAACTGCCCTATTCAGCAGCCTGATGCACCTGTTAAGCCCAAGCTCGAAGCAGCTGAACCTACTGCCGTGGCCAATACGCCTGCTCAGCATCCTGGTGCAGCTGAAATGTTTAATCAACGGTCGGATTCTACTGACAAGTGTACCGTCGACAAGCCTACTGATCAACCTGCCACGGCTGGTGATCACCGCGAGCCTGTCATGTCGCAGTCTGACGCGCCCCATGCGTCAGCTCAGCCGCGTGATGCAGCTGATAAGCATTCTCAGCCGACGGAAGGTGCTGTTGTACCAACTCAGCATGTGAATGCTGGGCTGACCGCTGAGCATGCCGACAAGCCTACTACTAAACAGTGTGACGCACCCCACGTGTCCTCGCAGCCTCTTGATGCAGCTGATAAGCATTCTCAGCCGACGCAAGGTGCTGTTGTACGAACTCAGCATGTGAATGCTGGGCTAACCGCTGAGCATGCCGACAAGCCTACTACTAAACAGTGTGACGCACCCCACGTGTCCTCGCAGCCTCTTGATGCAGCTGGTGAGCAGCCTCAGCAGATGGAAGCTGATGTTGAACCCGCGCAGCATGTAGATGCCGAGCAGACTGCTGAGCATGCCGACAAGCCTACTGAGGAGTCTGTGTCATTGCAGCAGCCTTCTGATGCAGCTGTTGAGCAGTCTCAGCAGATGGATACTGAAAGTGTGCCCACTCAGCATGTGAATGCAGATCAGATTGCCGAGCATGCCGACAAGCCGATTGAGCAGTCTGGCGCACCGGACAAGCCCGCTGGTTCTGGCGAGGCTGCTGACACGCTTTCTGACCAGCCAGTAGCAGCTGAGCCTGCTGAGAAGCCATTAGCAGCTGAGCATACCACAGTGCCTGTTACCACAGCACCGGACACCACAGCACCGGAAATTACCGCACAGGACACCACAGCACTGGACACCACTGCACCGGACACCACAGCGCCTGTTACCGCCACTCCTGTTCCAACCCCAGCGAGCACGCGGCGGAGGGGCGCGAGGAGGCGAACAGAGGCAGAATCAGCAGGAGCAACCGCAGCTGCGTTGACAGAAGCGGAGGCAAGAGATGGAGCAGCAGGGGGTGTGGCAGGAACAAGGGGAGCGGCAGCAACAGCGGGAGCAGTAGCAGCAGGCGAAGTGACAGCAGCAGGGGGAGCGGCAGCAGCAGGGGGAGCGGCGGCAGCCGGGGGAACGCAAGGGGACAGATTGGTGGGTGCAGTCGAAGGTCTGCTGCCAGGAGCGCTGCTCACTCCTGGTGGGCGCAGAATGACTCGTTCCATGGCGCGATCACTAGGGCTGATGTTGGAAGGAGGGAGTGAGAGTGACAGGAGCAGCATGAGCGCTAGTGCAAGTGCTAGCGCTAGTGCGAGTGTGACTGTGAGTTTGTCTGGGCTGAGGAGGGGAGGGGCGAGGAGAGGGAGAGGGGGGAGGCGGGGCGCTGGGAAGGGGGATGCGGGGAGCGACAGCGGGATGAGCGCGGAAGGGGAGGGGGAAACGGAGGTGGAGAGTAAGGCGAAAGGGGCGGGAGGGGGAGCGGGGGGAGCGGGGGGAGTGGGGGGGGCGGGAGGTGAGGAGGGCGAAGGGGAAGGGAAGAGCTTGGTGCTAGAGAGGATCAGTGAGTGGGAGGAGAGGATAATGGAGGTGGACGAGGAGGAGCAGGAGGAGGAGGAGGTGCGTCGGGCGAAAGAGAGGGCCAAGGCGAGGGCTGAGGAGAAGGCAAAGGAGAAGGGAAAGGAGAAGGGAAAGGCGAAGGCGAGAAGCCCGAAGGGTGGGCGGAGGGAAGGTGGGAGGGGTAAGCAGGGGAGGGCGAGTGAGGAGGAAGGTAGCGTGGCGGGTGGTGGAGGGGAGGAGGAGGGGCAAGGGATCGAGGATGGAAGGGGTGAAGGGGAGACGAGCAAGCGGAAGGGGAGTGAGGAGGGGAGGAAGGAGGGTGGGGTGGAGGAGAGGGGGGAGGGCACGGGAGCTGAGAGGGAGGGGGGACGGCGTGAGGAGGGGCAAGTGAACGTGTACGTGCGGAGGAGGAAGAGGGCAGGAGGCGTGGGGGAGGGGCAGGCAACGCCGTCAGGAAGCAACGTTGATGCTGCTATGTGCCACGAGACTGGCAAGGCTGTTATTAGCCAAGAGGCGGGTTCAGGGGGAGGAGTGAAGGACGCAGATGCAGCACAAGTGAGTGGGGAATGTGGGAAGGGAGGGGTGGGAGCAGTGGCAGGCGTGAGTGGTGGAGTGGTTGGGGAGAAAGAGGAGCTGGAGGCCAGTGAGGCTGCTGGTGGTGCTGGTGCTGATGCTGCCGCTGCTGCTGGTGTGGTTGGTGCTGACGCTGGTGCTGCTACTGGTGTTGGTTCTGATGCTTCTGCTGCTGCTGCTGCTGCTGCTGCCCCTGCTGCTGCTGATGATGGTGCTGCGGGTGCTGCCAAGAGTGCGCATGGCGGCATGGCAGTGGCGTGTGATGAGCAGCTGGAGGAGGAGAGGGGAGAGGAGTTGACTCCTGGGGGGAAAGTGGCCTCTGGGAAGGTGGAGACGAGGGAGACAGAGGAGAAGGAGGAGGGGAGGGAGAAAGAGGCGAGGGAGAAAGAGGCGAGGGAGAAAGAGGCGAGGGAGAAAGAGGCGAGGGAGAAAGAGGCGAAAGAGAAGGAAGAGGCGACGAGGGAGGAGTTGGAGAGGGAGAGGAGGGAGAAGGAGGCAGCGGTGCGAGAGCTACAGAGGATGAGGGCGGAGATGAAGTTGCAGATGGAACTGATGCAGCAGCAGGTGGTGCGCGCCAGAAGGTAAGGTCTAGTAATGGGGGGGGAGAGGGGGGAAAGGGGGTATAGGGGTTAGAGAGAGCTGCAGCGGATGAGGGCGGAGATGAAGTGGCAGATGGAGCTGATGCAGCAGCAGGTGGTGCGCGCCAGAAGGTAAGCCAGACTAGAAGGTGGGAGTCAGAAGGGTAGGGTGGGTGGAGGGAAGGAAGGGGAGGAGAGAGGTTAAGGAACACACAGAGCTGCAGCGGATGAGGGCGGAGACGAAGTGGCAGGCAGATGGAACTGATGCAGCAGCAGGTGGTGCGAGCTAGAAGGTAAGGTCTAGTAGGGTGGGGAGAGGGGAGAGAAGTCACGGGGAGTGTGGATGGGAGTGTTTTTTTAGAATTCTCAAAAAGGAACGCGGAGTGTGGATGGGAGTGTTTTTTTAGAATTCTCAAAAAGGAACGCGGAGTGTGGATGGGAGTGTTTTTTTAGAATTCTCAAAAAGGAACGCGGAGTGTGGATGGGAGGTTAATGGCCTTTGTCCATCTGTCAAACCCTTCCTGCTTTCTCGCCTCAATGTTCCCACTTTCTCGCCTCAATGTTCCCACTTTCTCGCCTCAATGTTCCCACTTTCTGTGAGTTTCAGAACCCATCGGTCTCCTCTTTACCTCTGCGTCGTCCTTTGCTTTCCAACATCTGTGTACCGCAGGGTATTCGAGCTACAAGAGCTCTGTGCGCGCTGCCATGGCCACTGGTGCAACCTCCTCTCTTGTCCCCACCTCCACGTTCCCATCCTCCCCCGTTCCCCTGCTCTTCCCGCTGCCCCCCATCTGTGTCCCGCAGGTATTCGAGCTACAAGAACTCTGTGCGCGCTTCTGAGAGCCCTCGCCAGCTTCTTCCTGTCCCTCCCCACACCCACCGCTATTCCGTCTCTGTTTCTTCTCCCAATCTGTAAAACGCAGGTATTCGAGCTACAAAAACTCTGTGCGTGCTGCCATGGCCATGGCTGCCCATCTGCGCCAAACGGCTAGATCCAAGGTCAGTGCGCGTGCACCCGCTGCTTCTCCACTGCCTGTGCATCGCTAGAATTGTTACCTGTCTTATAACATATTCCTCTCACCTTTTGAGAATTCTCAAAAGTGCGCGTGCACCCACTGCTTCTCCACCGCCTGTGCACCGCTAGAATTGTTACCTGTCTTATCATATATTCCTCTCACCGAACTGTGTTCCTCTGTTTTCTGCAGGTTGCCCGCGCTAAAGCTCTGGCGGAAGCTCGAAGCAGAACCCGGGCAGGTAAACTTCCTGCAGCTGAGGAAGCTGGGGGGTCGGGCAGGAAGAAGCGATCACCTAGCAAGCAGAGTAAAGGAATGGAAGCGTGGACAGTGTCCGAGGAGGGAGGGGTTGGAGAGGGGAGACGAGGCTGGGATATAGTGATGGATGAGGGAGAAGAGAAGGGGAAGAGGGCGGGTGTGGAAATGGGAAAGAAGAGTCAGGCGGAAGGAAGGAAGCAGAAGGAAGAGTTTTCTGACGAGGAGGGGGAGGAGGAAGCAGAGGTGCAGTGGGAAGAAGGGCCGGAGTGGGAGGAGAGGGGAGGGGATGAGGAACGTGAGGAGGGAGAGGAGGAGGAACGTGAAGAGGGAGAGGAGGAACGTGAGGAGGGAGAGGAGAGTGAGGAAGAGGGAATCCCTTTGACGCGCAGTGTGCAGCGGGAGGCATCATTCAAATCGTGGGTGAAAGCAGACTCGAGGTCGTCTGGTGGTATTGTAAAGGCAGACTCAAAGTCGTCTGGGGGTGCTGCTGCTTCCAGTGGAGAGGGGTTGAAAGGAAATGCGCAGGGAGTTGAGTGTGCAGGACGGGGGGATGAAGAGGAGGGGGAGGTGGATCTGAGGCAGGTAAATCTGGCTGGTGCTCTAGACCGGGCGTGGGAGCAGGAGGAGGGGGAGAAAGAGGAGGGGGAGGAGATGGCAAGGGAGGAGAGGAGGAAGAAGAGAGGGCGCGGGGGAGATGAAGGGGAGGAGGGGAGAAGGGAAGAAGCACGGGAAGATGGAGGGGAGGAGAGGGGAGAGAGCGATAGTGGGAGTAGTTCTGAGGGAGGTGGGAGTGTGGCGGGCACGAGAGGATCGTCGGATTCACCTGGATCGGACGGTGGAGAGGGGTTTAGCTTTGATGACGTGGTGGCACGGGCTGGGATCCTAGAGGATGGAGAGATGAAGTGTTTGGGTATGGGGGCACGGGTGGAGGGAGAGAGTGGTGAGGCGAGAATGCGTGAGAAAGATGGTGGTGGTGGGGTGATTGGAGGTCTAGAGGTGGGGATTAAGGGGGCTGCTGGTGGTGGGTTGGGAGAAGGAGGGGAGGAGAGGGGTGTGGACATGGAGAGGGGTGAGGAGAGGGAGGAAGGTGAGGTGGATGAGGGAAGCTTGGAGGTCGAGGAAGGGCAGGAGAGGGAAGAGGGAGAGGAGGGAGAAGTGGAGGATGCAGGTGAGGGAGAGGGGAGAGGAGGAGACGAGAGAGAGAAAGAGAGGCTGGTGCGGACGGAGAGGAGGCAGGGATGGGAGAGAGGGGAGGAGAGAGGGAGAAGGCGAGACATAAGGGGGAGCAATATGGGGTTGGTGTGGAGGAGAAGGCAGGTGATGCTAGGAAGGTTAAAGTCATGATTGGTGATGCTAGGAAGGTTGAAGTCATTACTGGTGATGCTAAGAAGCGGTCAGCAGTGGCTCGAGTGGAGAGGAATAAGGGGTGTGGAGGAGAGGTGGTTGAGGTGAAGGTGAGAGGAAGGAAGAGGAAGGCGGGGGAAAAAAAGGATGGTGGTGAGCATGGGCATGGGCATGGGCATGGGCATGGGCATGGGCGTGTGCATGGGCATGGGCACGGGCACGGGCATGGGCATGGTGTTGTTCGACTGGTATGGAGGAGGATTGGTCGCAGATGGATGCTGCATCGAGTGGTCGATTGTTGCTAAGATGTGTTGAAATATGCATAGACCCTTGACCCTTTTCCGGAGATTACTCATGAATTTAGGCATAGTGAATTGTCGGCTACAGTAACTGTAGCAGGCTTGGATTCGTAGTGAATAGGAGTTGGTGACGTAGAAACTAGTATGTAGTTTACCTAGATTCAAGTGGAAGTGTTGTGTCTTACAGGTTTGGCAATGTGTTTTATCGGCGCATCGAGGCTAGTTGCGGGTTTCCTTGTACCGGTGGTATTCCCTCTTGCTGTCCAATACCTGCTGTCCTCGTGAGGTACCTGGCTCTCAAATCACGTGCCACGGTTTTGTTGGTTGCGTTTCGGTTCCAAAGGGTCAGAAATGTCAGAACGCTGTTTACCGATGGAAAGCCCTTCTGAACCGTTCAGGGACGATGAGCATTCAAACACGCAGCATTTCTTTCCAGATTCGCTACCCGGACCAGCCGGATACTCCCAATGTTGGAGCTGCCTCGTTCAGCCGTGAAACGCGCTGCATGGCGGACAGCAGTCATCGAACTGGGCGAAGCGCCATCGCAACAGCTAGGCCAAGTAGCATGAAGTTACGCAGCTCGTCCCAACGCATCCAGGCAGCTTTAGTGTCATGGGTCATAATAAAGCTGGTATGGGATTTTTCGGCCGTTCGATTCCATCCCATGGCCGGGATGTGATGCTCCGACAGAGTGACGGCCGATGCCGTCGCCTCGAAATAGGACCTGTTCGTTACCGTCACCGTTACCGTTACCGTCATCGTCATTGTTTCGTCGCGCGTTCATTCTCGTTCCGCTATAGCCTTACAGACGAGGTACACAAGCAGTGATGGTCGTTAGCGCGCGTGCCGAAGCCGTAGAACAGCCGCGAAAGTAGCAAGATTACTGCCAATAAGACCGTTGAGCACGCGTGTATTGATCCTGCTTAGCACGAAGGTGATTGTTGTAAGGGTTCTCTGGACCGTCGCATCCTCGCTAATCTCTCTGTTCTCTGATAGTGTCTTCACGAAGCGGATTATCCAGGCGGAAGTAAATTTCCACACATGGCTGCTTGTTTCGAGAAATTATCAGGAAGAAACCGATTTGTCTCGTTTGCGATGGGATTCTTTCTGGTGCTGCTTCTACTCACTGTGCTCCCGCTAAATCCCTCGGGAGTTGCGACCGTCGCCGCGGTGCCGCTGCGGGACTTTCGCGGCAGCAGGCGAATTGGGGTTACAACCCGTGCGAGTGAGGTTGAGATTCTCGCTCCGGCGGGTGATGGTTCCGGTAATGCCACCAGCAACACGCCTCTTCCCATGGCGGGGATTTTTGGCGACCTTCAGGTGCGGTTTCCAGTCAGTGTTTTAGCTGAGAAGTGAAGTCTTGTTCTTCCTTTTAGGTTGTCGTTTACACTCCAATTAATTCCATCCTTCTCACCTCCCTTTCCTCCCCTCCATCCCTTCCTCCCGTTTCCCTTTTTCCCCCTCCCACCTTCCCTTCCTCCCTCCCTCCCTCCCTCCCTCCCTCCCTCCCTCCCTCCCTCCCTCCCTCCCTCCCTCCCTCCCTCCCTCCCTCCCTCCCTCTCCCATCAGAGCCCAGCGGCATCCAGCTATTCCTTGTTCGTGCAGGCCATGGCGTCCCTTCAGCCGCCCATGGACTATGCTGCCATCTCCTACCCAGCTCAACTCGGCAACATATTTTCCATGATTTTCCTGTCTTTTCCGCACCATTCCTCCCTCCCCTCCCCCCCACCCACCAGAGCCCAGCGGCATCCAGCTATTCCATGTTCGTGCAAGCCATGGCGTCCCTTCAGCCCCCCGTGGATCATATTGCCTTCCTCATTGGGGCAGCAGGCATGGCCTCATATACTCCACTTCTTCTGTGCGTACCCACTCCATTCCTCCCTCCTCTCCCATCAGAGCCCAGCGGCATCCAGCTATTCCATGTTCGTGCAAGCCATGGCGTCCCTTCAGCCGCCCATGGACTATGTCGGTTTTTTAAACGGGGCCGTGGGTATGGCCAATGGCATCACCATCCTCGCACCCTCCAACGCTGCTTTCCAGGTAACACTGCATGCTGGTAACCACTGCATGCTGGTAACCACTGCATGCTGGTAACCACTGCATGCTGGTAACCACTGCATGCTGGTAACCGCTGCATGCTGGTAACACTGCATGCTGGTAACCACTGCATGCTGGTAACCCTGCATGCTGGTAACCACTGCATGCTGGTAACACTGCATGCTGGTAACCACTGCATGCTGGTAACCACTGCATGCTGGTAACCACTGCATGCTGGTAACCACTGCATGCTGGTACCACTGCATGCTGGTAACACTGCATGCTGGTAACCACTGCATGCTGGTAACACTGCATGCTGGTAACCACTGCATGCTGGTAACACTGCATGCTGGTAACCACTGCATGCTGGTAACACTGCATGCTGGTAACCACTGCATGCTGGTAACACTGCATGCTGGTAACCACTGCATGCTGGTAACCACTGCATGCTGGTAACCACTGCATGCTGGTAACCACTGCATGCTGGTAACACTGCATGCTGGTAACCACTGCATGCTGGTAACACTGCATGCTGGTAACCACTGCATGCTGGTAACACTGCATGCTGGTAACCACTGCATGCTGGTAACACTGCATGCTGGTAACCACTGCATGCTGGTAACCACTGCATGGTGGTAACACTGCATGCTGGTATCAATCCTTCTTTCTGGTGAATAGGTGGACTTTTCCAGCAATCCCCAGCGTCACTCATGCCCGTCTCCCTTGCACCCCTCCCCACCACTCATTCTCCCCCTAATTCCTCCCAGGTCCTCGGCCCATACACCTCATGCCTCGCCAATTACTCATGCCCGTCTCCCTTGCACCCCTCCCCACCACTCATTCTCCCCCTAATTCCTCCCAGGTCCTCGGCCCATACACCTCATGCCTCGCCAATTACTCATGCCCGTCTCCCTTGCACCCCTCCCCACCACTCATTCTCCCCCTAATTCCTCCCAGGTCCTCGGCCCATACACGTCATGCCTCGCCAATTACTCATGCCCGTCTCCCTTGCACCCCTCCCCACCACTCATTCTCCCCCTAATTCCTCCCAGGCCCTCGGCCCATACATGCCTCGCCAATTACTCATGCCCGTCTCCCTTGCACCCCTCCCCACCACTCATTCTCCCCCTAATTCCTCCCAGGTCCTCGGCCCATACACCTCATGCCTCGCCAATTACTCATGCCCGTCTCCCTTGCACCCCTCCCCACCACTCATTCTCCCCCTAATTCCTCCCAGGTCCTCGGCCCATACACCTCATGCCTCGCCAATTACTCATGCCCGTCTCCCTTGCACCCCTCCCCACCACTCATTCTCCCCCTAATTCCTCCCAGGTCCTCGGCCCATACACCTCATGCCTCGCCAATTACTCATGCCCGTCTCCCTTGCACCCCTCCCCACCACTCATTCTCCCCCTAATTCCTCCCAGGTCCTCGGCCCATACACCTCATGCCTCGCCAATTACTCATGCCCGTCTCCCTTGCACCCCTCCCCACCACTCATTCTCCCCCTAATTCCTCCCAGGTCCTCGGCCCATACACCTCATGCCTCGCCAATTACTCATGCCCGTCTCCCTTGCACCCCTCCCCACCACTCATTCTCCCCCTAATTCCTCCCAGGTCCTCGGCCCATACACCTCATGCCTCGCCAATTACTCATGCCCGTCTCCCTTGCACCCCTCCCCACCACTCATTCTCCCCCTAATTCCTCCCAGGTCCTCGGCCCATACACCTCATGCCTCGCCAATTACTCATGCCCGTCTCCCTTGCACCCCTCCCCACCACTCATTCTCCCCCTAATTCCTCCCAGGTCCTCGGCCCATACACCTCATGCCTCGCCAATTACTCACGTTCCGGGCCCATGCTGGCCACTCTCCTCAACCACCACATTCTCTATGGCAACTTCCCGGAATCTGCTCTCTTTGACGGGCGGCATTATTTCACCCTTGCTAACACCAATGTGCTAGTCACCCGGGTGGCAACGGGGGTGACTGTGGAGGGCGCGAGGGTGGTTGAGCCGAATAAATTCGCAGGGTATAACGGCGTCGTGCATGGAATAGACCGGGTTTTGTTTCCGCCTGGGATAACCCCCTCAGTGAGTGTGGTGTGGTTTGTGGTGCGTTAATGGGTGGTGGTTGGTGCCTGAGTGGGTGCAATCATGGGTGGTGAAAGTGAGCAAATGCATGTGTTTCTGTATGGCGGTATTGAGTCTCTGTTATCACATACACCATATCCTGCTCCATCCCCTTCACCCCAACCCCCCATTTCCCCCTCTCACGTGCAGCTCTACACAATTTGCAACCAGACTGGGCAGGGTCTGGCAGTGTAGAGATGGGAGGGAGGAGTGTGTTTCCATTCGATGAAGAAGTTAAGAGTGACAGTAAGCGTCCCCAGCATCAATGATTCCTCGTTCCAGCTGCCTATGTGTAACATTTGCACGTGTGTCGCATTCTGTTGTGTGTATAAATCAGTTTAGTGTTTCAGGACTAATGAACGAGAGAAGAGATTGGATCTCCAGAAACTGCAAGAGCAGAATGAATTTTTACCCCGAGTTTTGACCCCTGTACTGCTGCGTGGGGGCCAATTCTATAAAATTTGAACAAATGATTGAATTGGATAATTACCCTCTCATCCTGTGAGTCATCCGAATTTGAGCTCCCTGTGTAATCCTCCTACTCTGCTTCCTCATCATCTGGCACCTGGGCTTTAACTTTGACAAGTGCTTGGCCCCACCGCGACTCGCTCTGCTTGTGTCTGCCTCGCCACGACCTGAGCCTTGCCAGCACGTGCGCCGATACAATCGCTCTCCGTGGCTTGCTGCCCATCTGGAGGAGGGGAGGGAGAGGGAAGAGTGGAGTACGGGTTGGCAGAGGGGCGGGTGAAGAAGGGGAGATGATGGGAGAGAGAATTAGCACATGGGATGATACAATCGTTCCTCTCGGCTTGCTGCCCGTCTGAAGGAAGGGAGAGGGGATCAGGAAAGGTGTGAACAGGGAGGGAAGGGTGAAGGGGAGAGAGGATTGGCACGTGAGAGGATCAGCACACAAACATTCCTCTTAACTTGCTGCCCATATGGAGGAGGGGAGATGAGAGCAGGGAAGAGAGTCTTCCGCTGTTAACCACTCACTCTGGAACCCTTCAATTGTACGGTATAGATTGGCTTTCGAGCTTGAGAGTGAGAAGAATGACTGCGAACTTGAGTCGACTCAAAACACACCTTCATGAGGCTCCTAAAAATAGAGCATTCACGTGCGTGAGGAGTGCGTAGAGAGGCAGCGAGGCGAGGCCTGTGATGAGGAGAGTGAGAAGAATGTGTGTTTTGAGTCGACTCACGTGCGTACATACCCTGATGGATCTCCTACGGGTAGAGCACTCACGTGCGTGAGGAGTGCGTAGAGAGGCAGCGAGGCGAGGCTTGTGATGAGGAGAGTGAGAAGGATGACTGCAAACTTGAGTCCGGGCAGCCATTTGGGTGCGGAGGTGCACTGCTGATGGTTCGCCAGGAGGTACTGAGGGAGGGGGGTAGGGAGGAGAGGAGGAAGGGAGTGAGCTGATGGTGGTGTTGAGGAGAGTGAGAAGGATGCCTGCAAACTTGAGTCCGGGTAACCACATGGGTGCGGAGGTGCACTGCTGATGGTTCGCTAGTAGGTACTGTGGGAGGGGAGGGGAAGGGGGAGATGGAAAAGAGGAGATGGGGAGAAGGGAGAGAAGGCATGGGGTTGGGATGAGGGAGGAGGAAAAAGGGAGAGAGAGAGAAAAGGGAGAAGAGCAAAAGGGAGTGGATGGGACAAGGGAGAGAAGAAACAGGGGGGAATCAGACAAAGGAGAAGAGGACAAGGGAGGAAGGAATGGAAAAGAAATGGAACGGGTGGGGGAAAACGGAGGGGGAGCAGTTGGGGGAGAGGTATTAATTGGATTCCCAGGGTTGTGCCTTTTGAGTCGACTCATAAGTCAAACGGAGGGGGACCAGTCGGGGGAGAGGCATGAATACGATTCCCAGGGTTGTGCAATAGTGCATTTGATTTCAACCATGCTTGAGTGGCACCATACCATGAATGCATAGTGCCATACCATACTATACCATGCGTGCATGCCACCATACCATACCATGCATGCATGGTGCCCATACCATATGGTGCGTGCATGTAATTATACCATGAATGCATGGTGCCATATTATATGATGCGTGTAGGTGTCATACCATACGATACCATGCGTGCATGCCACCATACGATGCGTGCATGGCATCATACCATATGATGAATGCATGCATGCCACCATACCATCCGTGCATGACATCTCACCAGATAAAACAAGAGGCTTCCCAAAGCATATGAGCTCTGCAGAGAATGTGAAGGGGGAGAAGGTGAGTGGGGGAAGGGGAGAACAGGAGAGGAGGAATATGAAACCTCCCAATGGCGTGCGGATGTTCCGTGAATGGCAAGTGAATGGCTCACATATGGCCGTTCATACACGAGCGGCTCACCAGGAAGAGCGCTAAGTGCATGATGTGAAACAGCAGGCGAGGGCGGTGGAGCCAGAAGAGGCTTACACCACCCACGCAATGCATGAAGGGCGTGTCACATTACAGCCACTGAAACCACTGCTGAGCTCACACACAACCCCCCTCAACCACACACACGGGTGGCTCACCAGAAAGAGTGCTAAGTGCAAGATGTGGAGCAGCAGGCGAGGGCGGTGGAGCAATGCACGTGGGAGGTGTTACACCGAATGCTCCCTCATCCCACACTTGTGACACACCAGAAAGAGCGCGAAGTGCATGATGTGCAGCAGCAGGCGAGGGCGGTGGAACCAGAAGAGGGAGTTGCGTGGCTTTAAGTGAGTGCCAGTGGCCGTCCCCTTCACATGTGCGCTCTCCAGAGCCAGCTGAGCCATGATGAACTCAAGCTTCGTGCCCACTGCTAGAGACAGCTGGTGAAGAAAAGGGGGGGGAGGGAAGGAAGGTGATAAGGAAATGAGGGCCGGGGTTAAGTGTACGCCTGTAGCTGTCCCCTTCACATGTGCGCTCTCCAGAGCCAGCTGTGCCATAACAAACTCAAGCTTCGTGCCCACTGCTAGAGACAGCTGGTGGTGGGGGTGAGGGAAGTGGGGAGTGGGAAGCACGGTGGGGAAGGCAGTGGGGTGTAAGTATAAAGCCGATGCCCTTAACGTGTGCGCTCTCCAGTGCCAGCTGTGCCATAACAAACTCAAGCTTCGTGCCCACTGCTAGAGACAGCTGGTGGTGGGGGTGAGGGAAGTGGGGAGTGGGAAGCACGGTGGGGAAGGCAGTGGGGTGTAAGTATAAAGCCGATGCCCTTAACGTGTGCGCTCTCCAGGGCCAGCTGTGCCATAACAAACTCAAGCTTCGTGCCCACTGCCAGGGATAGCTGGTGATGAGGGAAAGGAAAACCAGGCAAACAGTGAGGGGAGGGCGGCAGTAGGGGAAGAGGGGGTAATGTCTAGACAGTTGCTATCCCCCCTTCACATGTGCACTCTCCAGGGCCAACTGTGACATAATGAACTCGAGCTTCGTGCCCACTGCTAGAGACAGCTGGTGAAGAAAAGGGGGGGGGAGGGAAGGCAGGTGATAAGGGAATGAGGGGAGCGGGGTTCAGTGCCAGCCTGTGGCCGCCCCCTTGACATGTGCACTCTCAAGAGCCAGCTGTGCCATGATGAACTCGAGCTTCGCGCCTACTGCCAGGGATAGCTGGTGGAGGGTGGGTGTAAGGAAGGAATAATCAACGATTTTTGAGTCGACTCAAAAATCGACTGCCAGGGATAGCTGGTGAAGGGTGGGTGTAAGGAAGGAATAATCAACGATTTTTGAGTCGACTCAAAAATCGACTGCCAGGGATAGCTGGTGGAGGGTGGGTGTAAGGAAGGAATAATCAACGATTTTTGAGTCGACTCAAAAATCGACTGCCAGGGATAGCTGGTGGAGGGTGGGTGTAAGGAAGGAATAATCAACGATTTTTGAGTCGACTCAAAAATCGACTGCCAGGGATAGCTGGTGGAGGGTGGGTGTAAGGAAGGAATAATCAACGATTTTTGAGTCGACTCAAAAATCGACTGCCAGGGATAGCTGGTGGAGGGTGGGTGTAAGGAAGGAATAATCAACGATTTTTGAGTCGACTCAAAAATCGATTGCCAGGGATAGCTGGTGGAGGGTGGGTGTAAGGAAGGAATAATCAACGATTTTTGAGTCGACTCAAAAATCGACTGCCAGGGATAGCTGGTGGAGGGTGGGTGTAAGGAAGGAATAATCAACGATTTTTGAGTCGACTCAAAAATCGACTGCCAGGGATAGCTGGTGGAGGGTGGGTGTAAGGAAGGAATAATCAACGAGGAGTGCAGTGAGGGGAGGGCATAGCAACTGATTAAACAGTACACTCTCTTTAAACGAGGAGTGCAGTGAGGGGAGGGCATAGCAACTGATTAAACAGTACACTCTCTTTAAACGAGGAGTGCAGTGAGGGGAGGGCATAGCAACTGATTAAACAGTACACTCTCTTTAAACGAGGAGTGCAGTGAGGGAGGGCATAGCAACTGATTAAACAGTACACTCTCTTTAAACGAGGAGTGCAGTGAGGGGAGGGCATAGCAACTGATTAAACAGTACACTCTCTTTAAACGAGGAGTGCAGTGAGGGGAGGGCATAGCAACTGATTAAACAGTACACTCTCTTTAAACGAGGAGTGCAGTGAGGGGAGGGCATAGCAACTGATTAAACAGTACACTCTCTTTAAACGAGGAGTGCAGTGAGGGGAGGGCATAGCAACTGATTAAACAGTACACTCTCTTTAAACGAGGAGTGCAGTGAGGGGAGGGCATAGCAACTGATTAAACAGTACACTCTCTTTAAACGAGGAGTGCAGTGAGGGGAGGGCATAGCAACTGATTAAACAGTACACTCTCTTTAAACGAGGAGTGCAGTGAGGGGAGGGCATAGCAACTGATTAAACAGTACACTCTCTTTAAACGAGGAGTGCAGTGAGGGGAGGGCATAACAACTGATTAAACAGTACACTCTCTTTAAACGAGGAGTGCAGTGAGGGGAGGGCATAGCAACTGATTAAACAGTACACTCTCTTTAAACGAGGAGTGCAGTGAGGGGAGGGCATAGCA